ATGACAGTAGTCGTCAGTTGTAACAAAAAAACGTAGACAGCATCGCGCGGTGCCTTTGAATGTCTTTTATACGGGAGGAGCGGACGCGCGCGCCGCACGCGCGGCCCATACTTGATTTATCACTCCATTGTTGCGGAGCGACGACCCACCCCCACCGGATAAGGCTAAACATTCAATTGCCGGAACGCTCCCGAAACGATTTGTTCCTCCAATAAGATCGATTGACTATTTTTTCCGTCCACTTCTGCATTTAGTAGGGTTCTGAAAATCTGAAGCTTGTGTCACGTGAATCAAACTGAATTATACAATAAAATAAATTACATCTTGTCTTCGTCGTCTCTGTGTCACTTTATGTACAATTACCGAATAGTATAATATTTAAATTATTCTTAATTTATAATCATAACAAAAATAAATTGTCTATTCAGACATTGTCCGCTCGACTTTATATGATTTTCGATCCTTTTAAAAATGTTTCCTCACACACAATATATTTCGTCCTTTTATTTGTCAATATTTTTAACAATATAGTACATTACTACAGCGGCCAGCAACTGAGGCATTGATGGACGAATGCGCAAATGTGGGCCGAGGCGTAGCCGAGCCACACATACGTGAGTCCATCAATGCCTAGTTGTGGCCAAGGCTTGTATAGTACTTTTCTCAAGCAATGCGCGGAAATCAAAAGCACAATTTTACTTTTTAAGTTCAATGACGAATAACGAACAATAATAATTTTTCACGCGCCATAATGTTCCTTTGTTTTTTTTTTTTTTTATAAACAGCTTTCTATTTGCAATCCAGTTCGAAATTTAAATAAAACCTTTTATTAGTTACCTCCTTGGTAGCCATGTTTCGAAGTAAAAGGTCATTCCATTTTTAAATTACAGGACAGATATGAGTTTACATAATAATTTATCTGGCCGCAAAAAACGACAGATATGGATTTTCATACAACTTTTGCCGGCTGCTGCCCGCATGTATCTGGCCAGTACGGCAATTTTGATTTATCTCGAAGAAGATTGTCAAAATAATGCTCACATTTCCAAGCATGTTTGAGAAAAAGATATTTTTATGCTTTTTTCTTATATAATGAGTACTTTTTGTTACACGTAGGCAATATAGTCCATCTCGTAGAGGAAAATGCAATGGAAATGACATTAAAAAAATAGCTTTGGATACAGCGCATCTATTATACATTAAATAGAGCCTGTAGTTGATAATGCTTACTGATTGATTACTAAAAAAACTGATACGTATCCTTAAATATGTCTTAACACCAACGGAATTTAGCTGGAGTCAAATGGGCTCATTTGAGCTTAATTTAAATTTTAATTATCTATCTTCTATCGTCTATTCTTTTTTATATTTTTTGCTCTTTTGTAATATATATTTACACAAAGTTTTTTTTTTTTTTTAATAAAAGTTATTTATATTTAAACCGATATCTGTAGTTTCGGGTGTAGTATACAAAAATCAATACAATCGCAAAAGGACCATAACACCCGAGTCTTTAAAAATCTATGAACACAGCTGTTACTAATATGTCGAACTATTCTTAGTAATATAAAAAGCAATCGTATACTCTGTATTCAAGCAAAGTTCAAGGAATGCTAGTATTATTAACAGTTTAAACGTTACTTAACTTCACTGATAAGCACGAATAAATGAGCGCAACAGCTGTCTATACTACCACTGTATTGTGTTTATCTGGCTTATCTAATACTTAATTCGTGTACAAAACAAACCATTCATCAGATGTGAGTCACTTGTACTCATTGTGCATTACATAATTACGCCATAATCTTGTATTTTGTAATTATTAAACGTCGGTAAACATCAGCCGTTTCATATACGTATCTAATTTGACAGCGAATACGATAAATATAAAATATTAGCTTTTTTTACCCGCCACTTTCCGCGTGACCGGGATATATTGATTGACCAGGAGAAATTTATTTCTATTTCCTTCTTCACCCCATATAGTGTATACTAAATTTTATAGTAATTGGTTCAACCGTTAAAAGCTAATGATCAAACAAACTCACTTTCGCATTTATAATATTAATAAGTATATATTTTATAATTATTAATCGTTTGTAAATATCAAAGGGTTCATAAATATGTGACCAGATTGTAATTTAACAGTGAATGCGATAAATATAAAATAAGTAAGGTCGGTCAGATTGCAGAGACAATGCTTCTTAAACTGCGTTGCTCGTAAACGGTGCGGTTACCCGGCTAGTTTTATTGAGCCATTCTCCACTCGCTCGTAAATATCCCCAAGTAATTACTTTTCATTCCCCTCAGACACTTGGAGTTCGTTGCAGCAATATAAATAAAACCCTGCTCTTTTAAGATATTACTGGCTTTCTAAAAACGTAAAACATTAGATTTGTTTTCGCAACGACATTATAATGAATGACTACACTCTCGATTATACATTCTCGTTTTGTTTATTATGTGTTATAAATTTTAATTTGTACAAGCCTGTCTGCTAAAACGATTTATTGGTCAAACAATATATTTTATACAGTTTTAAACTACACATACCACAATTTATATATGTTTTACATAATTATTTTATAATTCCGATCAGAGATCATGATAACATACTAATTTACTAGAGAAGTGTTAGCATTCAATAGATATATAATATATTACTCACTTATAATTCTTCATTTGTAATCATTATTTTAAATAATAAAAAAAAACAATAATAATTATAATTATAATTTAAAAATACTGCATTAATTTAAATAAGTGATTACTAAATATTACAATGAACTGTCGCCATTAAGTGTGGGTTTATCGGCAGTTCCACGAAAAGGTTGAATTCATAATAAGAAGATTTTGATATTATTTTATTACAAACAAAACTTATATTCCTTACAAAGTTATTGATGGAAAAAATTAAAATATAAACTATATTGCTCAGAGACATCTGTTTGTATTTTTTAAATCAACTCAATAATTTGGACTTATTCTTATATATATTACTTATTATTATTAATTACTTATTCCTATGTATATACAAACAAATTTTATTTTTATAATAGATTTGTGTACTATTCTATGTTGTATAAAAACTGCATTCAGTTTTTAAAATTTAGGTTGTGTATAATGAACTAATTAGTTTCTATTGACCTTATTATATATATATATATATATATATATATATATATATATATATATATATATATATATATATATATATATTAAATGTCTCATGTACAGACTTCGTATAGTTACAATTTTATTATAAATATAGAACTCTAGTGATATAAGAAAAAAAGAAGAATATTACCATACAAAAAGTACATGGGCATATGGGGTGGCATAAGTGGTTATCACACAGGATTGTCCGCGTATCACTAAAAAGTATCTGCTTATCGAGGTTACTGCTTATCCGGGTCAAAAAAGTCAACGTCTCATTTATAAAGGTAACATTGAAGGACAAATGAGTCGCACACTTAAGTACTTAAACTATCTATGTGCATATAATTAAATTGTATTTAGAGGATTTGTGCACATAGGAGATATATAAGAAATATATATATTAGAGGTCTTAATAAAAGAAAAACAAAAATGAGATACTTAAAAAACAAAAGGGACTTTTCCCAACTGTGAGATATAAATCAATTTAAATTATAATATAGATTGTTTTTGCATCATAATCTGTTATGTGTATGAAAACAAACATGTTTGAGTTTAAATAATACTTGACGTATACAATCACAGATAATTTCTTTGCGATTTTTTTTGCACGAACAAAACTATGGCTTCGATTTGCTTGTAAATATAAATTTATCATTGTTTATACTTAGAATTATAAAAATTATTGACATTGTCCTATTCATAGCTGAAATATATGGATTTAAATTATATATGAACCTTGTTATATAAAAATGTCATTAAAATATTAATTTCCTGACTAGTTTATTGATACAAATGTATTTTTTTGTTTTTACAAATAGCTATATAAATATAAAAAAGATGAATGTTTGTTTTCGTTTGCCAATTAAAGTTATGTAAATCATTGCATAAACTTTATATAAATAAATATTTATTTTTAAAAATTTTGTTATGGCACTCAGTTTAGATAAATTGCATAATGCTTGATTATTAATTTCTAAACACAAATTATACAAACATGAAAACATGAAAAAATCTATCTGACTGTTATTTACCGATTTTCATATGTAATTTCTATTATCAATGTCAAAGTGACATTGATAATCCCACCATGCATGTTTGACTTTATATTGTAAATGTTTAATTCGAAATTAATTTTATGCCAGAAAATAACGTATTAATTTCGATCGTAATAAGATTATCCGCCTTTTTTATGTGTAATGAAATGTATATTAATCTCATGATCGATATATTTCCATTACGAATATGTCTCTATCTACATATGTATATATGTTCATGGTAAATAGCTTGCTAGGTATACTACAAATTTAAAACAACACACCACTGTATATATTATGAACCATCATTATTCTTGTAAAATATTTTCATATAGTCTCAACGATGCCTTTATGTGTCAGACTTGATTGCATCTCTATCTGATGAATACTAAAAGCCCGTGGGCGGTCATTGTGTTAGGTTAAACAATAGACTTACAACCGTCGAATGCTAATAAGTACATAATACGGGCCGTCTCGTCGGCCTACTGTACGCAATGTCGCGCGTCGTGGTCGTCGACAGACACTCACCCACTTGGAATATTTGACACCTCTCTATTCCAGTGGATGTAGCAAGAATTGAATAATGATATTGTATTTATTCAATACCAAACAAGTTTTTGTGTTCACTTTTAAGACATTAGCAAGTCTAAAAAACTGCACATTCAAGCTTTATTGCTTAGCACAGCTGTATTCCCCGGCTTTGTCTCGTGCAATATGATAAAAACATCTGCCTAAGACTTCATTAATTTCATTAATGTGCAGCTTCTTTTTTATAAACTTATTTAAAAATAATTCTCATTGTTACAGGCAAGTCCAGAAAATAGTAGAAATGCTTCACCAAGGTATCGCGATGCATCAATGGAAGATGTAAGTTTTCTACCAATCGAATCTTCTCCACTTTATTATACATATACACAAACAATATAATATAATTTAAATTTTATTTGACTACTACCATGTTATTTTCAGGCATCGGAAGCTGGCTCTCTGTTCCGGGTAACGGGCGCGGGCGGTGGTGGTGGCGGTGGCAAGAACGAGCTAGTGGCGCGGGGCGGCAGTGGCGGCGCGCTTGCTCTCTCGCGAGCGCCTGTCGGTGGCAGCGCCAGCCCCGCCCCCGCGCCCTTGCCCCAACCCGCGCCGTCGCCCGCGCCAGCCGCCCTGCCACCACCAGCACTGCCACCGCCGCCTTTCCGTGCCGACACACCACACCGACCCAACGGCGCTCATATTCCCACACTCGACGGACACGCCGCCACCCAAATACCGGCACGGCCCGTCGGTGCCGCCGGGCCTGACACTCCGGAGCGACCCGCCAGCAATAATAAACTGCAACCAGGCGCGAGAGCCGCCGCCGATAGCCCGACACCCGCACCGCCTGCTCCTCCTGCCCCGTCTCCGCTCTTTCCCTCGCACACTGCCTACCAGTCACACGCTGCGGCCGCATTACCCGACTACCGACATACGAACCATGAGACGCGGACTGAACAGCCCGAGCAGCCACCGGCACCGTTGGACCTTCACGCGCATCACACGCCTCGCCCACCACCTATCGTTCCGACTACTACGCAAGCGTCTCTACCTAGTCTACCTATTCGTGTACCGCATTCGCAACCACACCCGGTGATGCCGGGACATGACGTCCGGAACGTCCCTGTATCCGCATCTGCTCATCCTTCTGTTCCTATCTCGTTCCCAAACCGTGTAAATGGAGTGCCTCCAAGTATCGCACCACACTCAACGCCACCGTCTAATCCGAGCTGTCTTCCGAATCAAACTATAACCGGTCGGCCCGTCTCTCCGGCTACTCCAATTTCCCGCCCGTATCCTGTCACGACGATCGGGTCTAGTCATGTAAACTCGAGTGTAAATTCCAGTATTCACAATCATTCAATACCATATCAAAGTCAGTCGAGTTTACCTAAACATTCCGTTCAACCCGTTTACACGAACCGACCTCCACATCTTGCACCGTTTAGCGTGTCTAATCATATCCCTCCCACTCATATACAACCTTCCTCATCAAACCAACCAACTGCCACGCATATGAGTCATCCCGTAAATAGTCATTCCATCATGAACCATTCAAATCATCTGCCTATGAATAATTCCACTCCATTAATAACATCGACACCAAATCACATCGGTCCGCCATTGTCATTATCATCCACGACCAGTACCATATCAAGTTACACGGCAAGCCTAAAACATCCTGGTCTAAGTTTACCGCCGCATCCAATTGCTCTTGCACCACCCACTTCGATACATGCGTCAATCAACCATGTGGACGCCTCTCCTACGACGAGTGTTGCGCCAACTGTTATTCCTCCCGTGACGAGTTCCAACAGTCACCCATTAGCACTGCCAGTAGTGGACTCTAGGCAACCTCCTGTGTCGTCGAGCGACCTTCCGGCGCGGACAGAAAGCCCAGCTATTAGTTCTACAACTACTTCCAATGGGTTTCCGCCGCCCGCAGGCTATTCCAGCGCTGCCTACCCGCTCTATGCGCCCTATGCTACTACACTTCAACATAGTCCCTACCTTCCACCTGCTGCAGCCTCACCAAGAAATTCAACTGACACGGTAGGTTATTTATTTTAAAGCATTTATCAATAACATTATTATTTTAATAAAAAAATATCCAAATAGGAATGGCTAAAGTCCTAACGGACTTTTTCATGGGAAATCATAACAGTCTTCTAAACCATATCATGATGCCCCATATACTATTCCTGAGAATTAAGTTCTGCCTTTCTATTCAGGAAGTTTACTTTCATGTCTCACTCTCTCTTTCCTCTCTCACTCTTTAAACCGAAATACAGCTATACAAGTACATCTTCTTTGTGTCAGAAATAATATAGTAACGTTTATATCTCTATATCAGGGTAATAAACTAAAAATTAATATAATTTTTTTATAACTACCTTGTAGCCGCCACTTCGTCCACGTGGCTAAGATAAACAATAGCCTAAATCTTCTCCATCCCAAGTAGTACCTACTTGTTTACCAAATTTTATAACGATTGATTAATTAAGACGCCAAGAATTAACAAATGAACTGTAGCCCCAGATGAAGTAGTCAGAGGCATTTATCGTATGTTTCCGTTATATTAAACGGATCTTGACTTAACTTGTCTATACTTTCGCCATATTTGAACAACAAGGCAGAGGACGTCAATGTATTTCTGAGTGATATTTGAATATTTAATGATTTACTTTTAAGTGCCAGTTTGTGTATAGACTAACTCTTACTTTTCAGAGGACAAGTCTCTCGGCATCTCCACTGGTAGCTCCCAAAACGCCTAAAGGTGTTCGACCACACACACCAGGCTCCACAGGAGCAGCGGGTGCCGCACCTTTGTCACACGCGCCTATCTCGTATTCACCACGCGGACATAGTCCGAACAGAGAACGAGAGAGTTTCAGGTAATATTATTATAAATATATATCTACACAAACCTGTTACAATAATTCTAAAATCACACTTCATTAACATACATAACAAAAACAATTAACTCTTCGCAGGTTTTTATTTATTTAAATTATATTAACTCAGCTGTTTCGTCAGCCGTATCAAGGCATGAACAAAACTATACCTAAACTGTTTTTTGGAAATTTCTGATCTAAATCACCGAATGCAAAAATGTTTTATTATTATTTTCATTTATATGTCTATCAGTTATCTAGTGTCAGTATAATTTTTGCTCAGTTGGAAGCGAGATAGTCCTATGTGAAATACGAGTATTTAAGGTTATATATTTATCCACTAATATGGGTTCATCTTTCATTACACAATAAAATATTAAACAAAGAGTTGTCCAGACTTCTCTATTGATGTTTGAAAATATATACTTAATTACCTTCAGGCTAAGTCTGCCGATAGAACCGCATGCCAAAAGCAAGAACAAGGATAGAATATCCCTGAATACATCTCTTGCTTCTAGTACTTTCATAACATTTCGTGCGTGCACGCCAATTTTAAAGACTTGACTCCTTTAAATATAATTCAGCCTAATGTTTGTCAATGTACTAAGCGGCCTGGCTTTGTGAGATTATGTGAAATGATAAAACAAACATTTGTATTGATTTCAGCAGCAACATTAGTAGTCTGTCGCGCAGTACTCCAGCATCGGCCGCCAGCGCGCCGGTATCAGCGCCGCCGCTCGCACCCTCGCTCGTACCACCTCTCGCCGCACCACTCGCGGTATAATTATATTATGTTTCGAATATTTTGATTATGGGCAAACTGAAGAGCAGCGAATACCTAGATAAAATCATGGAATTATTTACTTACGCTATCTATGTAACTTTGAAACTAAAGTTATTTTGGTTGTTCTTTATCATTTTATATAGAACATAAGAACTTTATATGTACTCTTAAAAGGTCTAAAGTCTTTACCTCATCATACATGATAAGATAAAGACTTTAGTACAATTTAAGATATCTCAGATAGATCCTTTAAATTGTACTAAAATAAAATTACCTAAATTAAATGAAAAATTTATACAAAGCTGTATGTTAAAGCTAACCCATATAAATAAATTTTGTTAATCACATTTTTTAATATTTTGCAAAATAGAATTATTGAACAATTTAAACTACATACTCATATTATACAGCATGTTTAAAATCTATTTAATTTCGATTTCAGACTCCCCTAGCGACGCCTCTGGGCGCTCCATTGGGTGCTCCGCTGGTGGGCGTGGGAGCTGCGCTGGCGGCTCCCACGCCGACGCCCGCGGCACCCACGCCCACACACCTCACGCACTCGCTGGCACCGGTGCCCACCGTGCCCAGCATCAGCTCCAGTGCCAAACCGCCCGCCCACTGGGGGGTAACGTGAGTATACGCCAACCCTAAATTACAACTTAAACACTCAAATTTAGTATTGATATTTAGAGAAGAAATTATCCTTTCAATGTCTTAAAGTATGTTTTTCAAATTCGTTCCTGACACGATTAATAATAAATATAGATGTGGCCAAACTGTTTAGCAGAAATACATAAACATGTTAGCTATTTGATATTTCATATGAGAGAAATGAAATGAAAATCCCAAATGTGTTGTCCCAACTTTGTCAAATTTGTATCAACTAACCATGCTCATGTAATTGTTGTATATTTGCATAATATAGATAATAGTATTAATATTGAATGATTACGTGATGGTACACTATCGTTTTCAGCAGGCCGACGGGTGCAGAGCGCAGCGGCTTTGCGCCTGCGCCACCACTATTCGGCGCACCGCTTCCTCCGCCTAACCCGAACCCGTTCTCAGCTGAATCTCTTTTTCAAACCAGTGAGTGTCCACCAAATACCGTCAACTCATTGTTGTCTATATTTCCTTATCGTAACATTTTTTTTTTATGTAACTATTGTTATAACTGAAAATGTAGTTATATAAGGACTACAAAATTTCTTGTAACATCATTATATTTTTCTGTCTGCTATGTAAATAATATTGTAATATATAATTATAAATTTTTTTGAAAGCAGTTTCTTCATGTAGTTCATTTATCATCAATTGTATGTACAGTAGAATCCTGTTATAATAGTATATATTTTGAGTATCCAATGGACTAGAAAACGCACCCCACTGTCTCTATATCAATGTTGGGCCGGCCAGAATAGTCTGACTCAAAGGACCATAAAATATAGCTGTTTGCAATTAAAACCGGAGCTAAATATGCAGAAAACAACTACATTACTTGTGACCCATAAGAGACAACATGTCTGTTTTCTACATAATCAGGTCCAACTGTCACGTTGATCTCACATTAAATATGAAATTATTCTAACATTGAGGTGTGGTAACAGGTCCGAGTGCAGACTTGCTGCGGCGCGAGCTCGACAACCGGTTCCTGGCGGCGGCGGGCGCGGTGGGTACGATGGGCGTGGGCGGCGTGGGCGCGGTGCGCACGGAGATGCACCACCACCAGCACCAGCACACGCACGTGCACCAGCACACGCCGCACGCGCCGCACCCGCCGCACGCGCAGCACGCGCAGCATCCGCAGCACGCGCAACACACGCAGCACCCTCCGCACCCGCACCAGCTGCTCGTGCCGCACGCGCCTCTCGTTAGTACCACTGCCACGCTCTTACATATTCACTCGTATACACAATCCTCACATATATAAAAAAATAATAATGAATAGCTAAAAATGTTGCTAAGTGCAAAACTTGAGTGTGGCTGTACCAATAAGACAGTTTTTTTTTTCTCAAATCCTAGAAATGAATAGAAGAATTGGCTGTAAAAGTGTTAAAACTCCATTTATCTTTTTCCCATATAAACTGTTAATCATAATCTAATAGCTTTGGACAGAACATTTGTCTGGTCTGCCATTAAAATATTTTTTTTACAAAATATTTAAATAAAATAAATGCCACTAGCCATATTAAACAATGCTGTCTAGTCCTAAACTAAGCAGAGCCTTCACTGTAGATAGTAGACAACTGATAGAAATACTTAAATATACTTTTTATAAATACATACATATTATACAGTATAAGACTATACACAATGAAATTAACATCCTTATAAAAGTATTTCAAGATCTATTTAAAAAATCCACTTCTCATATTTGTAAGTTCTTAATTTTTTTTTTTTTTTTTTTTGTAATTACATCATATACATAATTACATATTTTCACTAACTAAATACTATCATATAAGAATGCTAATTATTTTTAATTCACAATGAAATATAAAAATTAAGAGATACTTTTTTCATTGTATTATAAAGCTTACATTATAATGTATGTATGCAAATGTTGAATATTATAATTTTATAACTGGATATACTTTTTAATTAATTTTGTGTACTATGTAATTTTGTATGATACTTTAATGTAAAGTATAATTTACTAATTACTAATTTATATGCCTTCTTTTCTAAACTCTTTGATGAAACAATTCTTATCGATAAATGAATTTACACTATCCATATATCTTTTATGATTTTTATAATATCTCATCTAGATTCAGCACACATAGTATGCACACAAAAATTCCTGGCGTTGCATAATTTTCAGTTATAACAACTTTATTATTCTTTCGTTAATGATAAAATCAAAATATATGTATGTCAATATAAAAATGTATTTATACTTTGACCACTTACTCGTCTTCCTGCAAACAATATCAATACCACTTCTGGCTCGTTTGCAAGCAAATGAACAAAAAATGTATAATAATGTTGGTGATTAAACCCCTACTTATTTTCATCCTTTCTCTACATTCACCCATAATTTCTATGCGTGTGTCAAATTCTAATAACATAAGTTCAGCTATTTAAGCAGGATTTACAAACATCCTTACATTATTTTAGAACGACAACAAATATTTATTTATATTAAATTGTCTCCTTTTCAGTACAAAGATGTCAGTAAAATGAATTCACTATACCGAAGCGGGTTGGGACTGGGCTACGGGTACGGATCGAGTCTGTTACACCCCGCGGCGCCGTATGTACCGCCCACGCCGCTTACCACCTATGCTCCTAAGGTAATTAATTACAGCTTTACTATTTTCATATACACATGAGTGCCGAGTATTGAAATATTGTAATAGAAATAAGAATAATATGTTCTGTTATATCATAACACTTTATATCAGTCAAAATAAGTAAGACTTAGTTAAATAATGCGAAGAGAAAACCGTATTTAATTTTTCTTAACTGTATATGTCAAGTGATATATATATCGAGTTCATTGACATTCCTGTTCTTATTTTAATTACAATAATAAAACAAAGCGTTCTTCTCTAATATATAAGTTGGTCAAACAATCCATATGTTGATATTAGAAGTAGTCTGTATAAATGGTTAAAATAAAGAAACGAATTCCTATACATTGTTAAACATATCAGGCCACGCCAAACCACTTGCCACATCGGTTCGGCGTGGAATGCTGATGATGTAGTGTAAAAATTTTTACAACACCTCATTCTTGTAGAATGACGTAGACGAAGTGTTTAGGTAAATGTCCGCATTTATACAGGTGCTATAATAAAATTATTTTACATGTGTCTTGGGTAACTGAGTAACTTCAAACCAATTTGAAAATAGTCTGGAATTTATGCACTTCAAATTCCACTAACGTCCTTTATAATGATTAATGCTTGTCTAATTATTATAAATTCTTTTTTTTTACATTATAATTAAAGTTTATTCTATCAATTATTGATAATTAAATTGGAAATATTATTTAAATATGTATTTAATATTTTTTATTTGCAAATGAATGTTTTTATTCAGTTTACGATATTCATGATTAAGAAAACAATTCAGTATTGTTAGCTATTATTAAATTATATATTTTCTTGGTACTGGCTATAGGTGAAATTTCGAGGTCATATACATTAGTTGTGTCATATACAACTAATGTATATGACCTCGAAATACAACACAAATACATAACAATACGAAACAAATACAGTATTTTGTCACTTATAAAGATAAATTGAATATTTTAAACCATTGCAAAATCCACATAGACATAGAATCAATACTTATTACTTGCAATGTTTTCTTTATTTTTATATATAGTAAAATTAAACATGAAGTAATATTGAAATTCATTCACCCAAGATGATATTAATTTGTAATTTTTAAAGTTTTATTTGATTTTATAGCATACTCCATAGTCACATTCTATTTTTAACTGTATAATAAGGCCATAGTAATCTCATTTTAATATATCATATTTACTTTGATATATGACTGACCTCGCTTTGCTATTTTAGAAACTTAAAATACTTTTTACCACTTTTGATTTTTCTGTGGATCTGAGAATAATTTGACATTTCTCATTCAATTTTTTTTGTATTCATAGTACTTAGTAAATATTTTTAATGTATTAAATAGATTAGTCTTATATTCTTTTTCAATGTTTACTTTTAAATTAACATATTCGTTTTTTGTAATAATTTCTGAAATGTACTAGATAATTAGACAATTGTTTTACATTAAGCCTTTTCTTCAATATTATCTCGCTTGGATGCTTATGATTATATTTTTTTGCTCTGTGATCATTAACCCTACGACGCATCATGTTAACAGCCCGTAGTGTCAGCTGCAAGCGACCCCGCCACTAAACCACAACCACGACCCACTGTTGCGGTAGGTCCTTTCTTTAGCACTTCATTACACCATGCATGTCTAGTGATAATACATTCTTCACTTTATATAATATTGTTATAATTATATCTAGATTCTTGTTTATTGATATATAGTGTTACTTTTGGGTATTTGCATTTATTATTTGCATATTAACTTTATAATACACAAAAGGGAAATAATATAATTAAACACAATTATTTTTATCCTTTTTCCGTTCAATATAGAAAACCGGAAAATGGAATGCGATGCACGTGAGAATCGCGTGGGAGATCTACAACCATCAGCAGAAGGAAAAGACCGGGGGCGGCAGCGTGCTGCCCGGCGGCGACAAAGACAAGCTACGGCCGTTCCCTGCGCCCGCACCGCCGCCGCCCACCGCCTACCGCTCGCCGTACGAGTTGCCGCCCGCGCCCTACCTGCCGCACCACGCGCCGCTAGGTACCATCCGCCTCGAGCCCTCGCGGCACCCCGCGCTAGCGTCGCCGCTCCCGCCCCTGTCGCCCCTCGCGCCGCCTACTCATGGAGGTTTGCGCGTTTCAGGGGTATCGCCGTTCGCTCGATACGGCGCCGGCGCTTTCCCCGGCGCCCCCGCCGCGTTCGGCCTCTCCCCGTACGGGCGCGATCTCGCGCTCTCCTCATCGCTGCACGGTGTCCACCATGCGCCGCCCCTGGGCGCCTTGCACGACGCGTGGCGCGGCGTCCGACCGCCGCCCGCCGTCGCCGTGTCCGCATCCACCTCGGTCGCCGCCGAGGTGCGCCGCGAGCACGAAGAACGCGAACGCGCGCGCCGCGAACGGGAGGAGCGCGAACGCAGAGACCGCGAGGAGCGCGAGCGGCGTAAGGCGAGAGAGCAACGCGAGCGGGAGCTCGAGCGGACGAGGACGCGCTCCCCGCTCAGGAACGGCGCGCCAGAAGGGATGAAGGATGAGCGCAAAGAACCCCCGCGGCCGCCTCCCCCCTCGCTAGCTACATACCCGCCACCACCGCCCTGGGACCCGTACCGCGCGTTCGACACGCTCCACCACATGCGATTTGCGCCACTCCTGGAGGCGACGATCCGCGCAGAGGAGGACCGCGCCAAGATGCTGAGCGCGTACGCCCACCACCAACAGCTGAAGTCGTCGCCGCTGCTGCACCGCGCGTTGCCGCCACATGCACCCCTGCCGCCGCTGGGTGCGCACCCGCCACTAGCGCCGCTGGCGCCGCTCGCTCCGCCGCTCGCCCCGCTCGCGCCGCTCGCTCCATTAGACCTGCTCAAGAAGGAGGAACCACGATGATAACGACGCGGCGCGACCGCCGGCTCCAACTGTACATAGAGTAGTGTAAACGACGTCGCAAGTGAGAGTACGACTAATTTAATGTATATCGTTTCGCATTATCGGTTTAGAAAATTATTTATTCTAACGTCGCTTGCCGATCGACGGTCGCTAGTCTCGCCGGGCGACGCCGCCTCGCTCGTCCGCCACCCGCGCGAGGCGGCGCGAAGGCTCCCCTCCCGGTATGTGCAATATAGGACGAAGACATTGGGCGCAAGCCGCCGCCGGCCTGTACACTACTGCTTGTTTATTTACATGGAAAATATCTATCGAGTTGTTATTGTGACCATTATTAGTTAATTATACATCAAATTGCTGATTATGTCGAAGATAGGGTTATCGAAATCACTATCGATATAATTATACATATTTATATATACTTTATAAATAAAATGTAAATATTAGTACGTAAATTAGTGTTAAAGTATAGAATTGGTTTATTTAACGTCATACAAAGGAAAATCCCATAAATTATTGTATCGGGAGTATAATTTACACTTCCGTTAAAAATCTCAATGGTTTTTCTATTGTACCAATGGAATTTTATTTATTAATTTGATGCTCCTACTAGTAACAAAGTTAAAATAATACAAGTTTGTATAGCAGTTGTGACATTTATCATTTAAATGCATTTAAAAGTATGTGATATTATTGTATTGTGAAATACAGTTTGTCTGACAACAAAGTAGTATCTCTGGTAAATTAAATAGGACTATTATAATATTCATTACAGTAAATGGTGAAACCTGTATAAATATTTCATAAATTATTTTGAAATGTTTTCATTTAAAATATTTGCAATAAATTTTGGCGATAAGTAACTATCTAGAAATCAATTTGTAAACAAGTAATAAACTCATTGCATTGATTGCCACTGAGTCAGACAAAATTAAATTTTAGTCTGTTGTAACACGTTACATCAGATAATTTACGTTTTTATAATCTCACGACCGACTCCGATGTGTATTATAGTTTACAAAATCATTCTGTATACTAAAAAGTAAATGAAAGCTTGGTGCGATTCAGAAAATACCATTAAAACTTTTGATTTTTATACCAATAAGATGTTTCATATCCTTTCCTCGATCCGCCTATTTTCGTTTCGCCCCCCCTTTAATTTGCCAAATTTTATTGAATATTCATTTTTGTTAATCTAACATTCATTCAAACCTCAACAATAGTAATATAAAAACAAGAATAAAATGCCAAAGTAGAGCAATAAAAATAAGAAACTGAATAAGTTACTAGAATGGATTACGCATTTTTGAAACCAGTAATATATCACCTACTATCACGACACCACTGGTCAAATATGCAAACTATGGCAACCATGTAATGGTTGAAATATGAACATATGTACGTAGTTGAAGTAGCTGAGATTCTTAGCGAAACTAAAATTAATTAATGAGGATTAAAATTTGTCTTTGTTAAATTAGCATATTGTGGTCCCTTGTATACCAAATTTCATTCAAATCTGTACAGCCAAGGTATTTTCTAACATTGGATAGATGAATAGTCTATCCCTCTTATTCAAACCTCTCATAAACCTATTTTAGTTATTGAACATTCTCTTTTGTCCTAAATTCCTAATTTGAAAGAATGTGACAAAATAATGTAATAGTTAAAATAGCTTTGTATAAAGTTTTTAGTTTTTATAAATAAAGGGGTATATTTTTAAATTTTACCCTAATGGTTGTTACCGCAATAAGAGAACCTGAAAGCACTGAATTCTTTTTAAAGATTATAAATCACCGCTTTTACTACGAGTGGTAAGTATCTAGATATAGTACCATTTTATCTTTGGAAGAGGTAACTACTAAGGATCCTGAAAAGCAGTAGCTTTTGCGTTTAGGCTTTTTTTAAAGGCCTAAATGTAAAAGACTTACCCATATTGTTAGCAGTGGGTCTGTTTTTTTTTAATGGGTGATAGTGGAATGGTTACCCCGCCTGCGCTATCGGTATACACTGATAGACCACCTGTTAGGGATGATAGTTGAGGATGAAACGGCAGGTCAGTTAGCCCATCGTGACGAATTCAACGTAGGGACTAACCTTTCCCCCGCGGGGCATTTTTTTTTTATTCGTGAAAATGGCATGGTTACCCCGCCTGCGCTATCGGTATACACTAGCGGGGTACCAGTGAACGGTGATAAGTGACGATGAAAAGGCAGGTCAGTTAGCCCATTGTGACGAATTCAATGATAAATTGCTCACGATAGTTTCCAGGGGAACCGCGTAGAGGTGGAGGGTATATTTATAGCAATGGGGACTAAACTCCCCATTACTAACAATCCCTTCCCCCCTTTCCGTGTTAGTAAATAATAGGTTATAAATACTTTCCCGACGTAGGGTAAATTTTAAATAGCACAAAGTCATGATTGTGCTTTTTTCCTCTATATTTTATGCTATTATTGATTTAGTTGTAGTTATAATGTATTTTCAAAATTTCTATGCTTAATTGTGTATTTCTGGCAACTAATATTAATGGCGTAAAAAAAAATAGTATAGTTAAACTATTTTTGTACTACTTTATTACTTTGGCTGATTATTCTACTCATATTAGTTTGACTAATATTCATACCTATAATTGGTTATTTGCCATAAATTCTACTAATTTTGGGTAAACCCTTTGTCAAACGTTATTTTCAAAAATATGTACCTCCATTCTGATAGTACCATTAAGTTGCGTTGTAACTAGTTATGAACGCACTTAGCAAAATTTGAATTACGGGCCCCTCTACTGACTTACTTTGTTGGAAGAAACAACTTAAGGGTTACGTCCCTTGCAGCCGACCGTCTAGCCAGCCCTTATCCTCAACGCTGACACTACGGTATAAATTAATTAATCTAATATTTCCCATTTTGCGCTGAGACTAAGAGAGTGGACTCTCAGATCGGAAGGCGGTTACTCCAAATGTTAATACTTTGGTTTTGGCGCGTTCCAGGAATAACAACAACAAAAATAGTGGGTATATACACGTATTGAAATAACACATAGGAGTTGAACAACGGCATTAACTGTAGTATAATATTTCGGCTTCGGGATGTAAAATATCCTCATTATACAGTCGAGAATGAGAGGTCATACGCCGTTACTACACGTGACTGGCTAACCGATCTTATTTATCCCTCACTGGTGTCCCGCCAGCGTATACTGTTAGAGTAGGCGGGTTACAAGAAATTACCTACATTTGCATAAACGGCGGCAACAGGATCACCCGGAGTACAGGGAAGTATTGTGAGACAATAAACAGCATCTATCCGATCATCCTATAAATTTGTGCCTTCATTTGACCCAGCTCGCTGTGTATTTCTTATTAATTACTATATTAATTAATAAAATTCATAGGTCGTAATACCATAGTTCTATTTTATCACTAAATAAAACTATTGGTTTTAATTATCCAGGGATGGGCAATAGGAAGAGGCCTATGATCAGCAGTAGACAGTTAACAGCTAACATGATGATTATGAAAACTATTGGGCCTGCACGGTACAAAGGATTGTCAGTAATGGTCGACCTCCACGTGGTTCCCCTCAAAACCCATCTTGATTAATTTTTATGGAATTCGTCAAGATGGGCTAACTGACCTACTTTCATCTTCATCTATCATCCCCCACTGGGATCGCACCAGCGTATAGGCGAGGTTACCATTTCATTATTAGCCATAAAACAAACTAGAAATTATCTCAATCTTTTAAAGTAGGTTACACGTACACGTACGCGCATGCACACACACACACACACACACACATATCAAACGGATCATAATGAAAGTCTCATTTCTGTACCCTGCCCCAGAAGACGGCCCTATTTATCTTACTGTCTTTGTGGATCTTTCTCAGCCTAATCTAGAAATTCATTAAAGCAGAAATATTTTAATAGAAAGTTGCCTTCCCTATAGAAATAATATTGTACTTGTATATTCTCTGAACCACAGGTATTGATAGAATTTTCAAAAAAAGAAAATATAATGCTTCCACTATATCATATATTATTGTAAAGAGGGTGAATTACAACATTAATTATAAATAAAATTTTCTAGTGTTCTGGGACTTATTTTATAATCTATTTTCTGTACCAAATCTGAACAGTCTTCATTCTTTTCACTTTCTTCTGTAGTTGGAGAACACCGTAAAGTAAAGCTTCAGCTGATGGTGGACAGCCAGGTACATAAATATCCACTGGCACAATTCGATCACAACCTCTAAAACAATAATATTACATTATTCTTTAATTTATCAATATTGGAAATTAAAACTTTTAATATATTATGTACATAAAAATTGATTATCATAACATAAATGGTGCCTTTAAGTTTCTGTATGCACAAACAAATTTTAGAAAACTGCTTAGCAAGCACCTTTATTAGTTATACAATCAGCCTTCTATTTTTTTAATTTTGGTTGTGCATTAATATCCTACTTTACATTATTTTATATACAGACACTTTGTGTATCTAACTTAATACATTTACTCTGATGTTGGTGCCATGTTAATCGCCAGGATTAAAATTATTGGTATCGATTTTGAGGCATTATTCCCTAGACCTATCTCTTAAATTTAAATTAGCTTTAAATTTAAAGCTTTTACTCTATGAACTAAATATTTATTATGAATTTGGTTTATATCAGTTCATTATATGTTGAAGACCGCATTGCAAAATCATATTTCTCACATATAGACTGGCTTTTTATTTTTAATTACATATTATTTTTTTAATATTTTTTTAATGTACAATAATTCTATGTCAAATTAACTAAATCCGCTATATATGAATCGACTATTGTACATATATTTAAATCATGCCCAGCGGTGTACAAGTGATCCCTGATTAAAACATGTTGTGTGCTCACTTGTGAGCATATGGGCCGGTAATGTTGTTGCGGAGTGACCCACCGGTGGGCATGCAGTCTTCAACGTGTTAAACAAGGCTATCAAATTAAATTATTAATTATCGAGATAGGTTTAAAGAATGGTGCTCAGAATCTACCCCATTATCTTATTTTTTTTTTAAACAAAACCTTGAGAATAAATATTTTCTTTTTTTTTTAAAGAATACTTAATATTTTACCTTACAACGGAATAAGAGTAATGATAGTATCCACCACCATTAGCACAGCTACCCATAGAGATCACCCATCTAGGATCTGGCATTTGGTCATACACTTTCCTTAATGCTGGTGCCATTTTATTAGTTAATGTCCCAGCTACAATCATTACATCTGATTGACGGGGTGAAGCTCGGAATACTACACCATACCTAGAAGATTTGAATTTAATAAATGTCTGAAATCAACACTTATATACAAAATTTGTAAGCATAATCCTTATGACAATATAATTACAATATGTTCCAAAATATAAAAAAAAAAAGAAAATAAATAAAAAGTATTCTATGAGTATGTTAATCCATGTAAAATATGGTTCACCCATGCCTTTCATAAAATGTAACAAATAAACATTTACACAAACTTGCATTTATAATATAGCTAGCTATATGGAATGGCTTTGCCCATATGAATCAAAATAAATAGAATCTTGCATTTGACTATATGATATCTTACATATTAAATTTTATTTAAAGTAGTTGAGCCATTTAAGCATTATTCGAAATGAATATACATATATACGAGGTTTGTCCGGAAAGTACGTATAAAAGTTTTTTAAAAATTTTATTTTACAATTATTCAGGTAAATCAATTTTATCCCCTTCAAAGTACTCCCCCTGTGACATAATGCACTTGTGCCAACGCCGTTTCCACTGTGAGAAGGCTCCTTGAAAGTCCTCTGGTTGTAGGTTTCTCAGCTGCCCCGTCGTGCTTTTTTTATCTCATTTATGTCCCCCAAATATACCAATTTGGTTTTTGGGAACAAGAAGAAGTCACACGGGGCCAAATCCGGCGAATAGGGGGTGTTCGGTCACCGTAATGGAATTTTTACTCAAAAACTCACGGACAACAAGAGAGGTGTGGGCAGGGGCATTGTCGTGGTGAAGAATCCAACGCCCCTCTCGCGCCAATTCTGGACGAACTCGTGCCACACGAGCTTTATTCTGAGCACATCGACGTAGAATTTTCCATATGGACATATATACAATAACATCGAACTCTTTCTCGGCCCTCTCTGAATCTTTTTAGCCACTTGTGGACGGTTGGTTCCTTCACAGCATCATCCCCATAAACTGTTCTGAGATCGGCAAAAATTTCACGGCCATTCTTGCCAGTTTCGAGAGAAACTTGATTACGACGCGCTGCTCTTCAACGGAAGCGGGCTCCATGCCGACGGGGTTTCGTTAAGAGGTAACTTGCACCGCACGGCGGTCAGACCAGAACTGAAGCATTGTTAGGGACATAAGGAAGGGGTCCTGCGCTTACCTGGCCTCCCCACTCCTCTTTCTCGCATTCCAGAACACTTTTATACGAACTTTCCGGACAGACCTCGTACAATAACATCACCTGCACTAATGGTTTATGCTAATAGGGCAGCAGTAAGGGGTGCTAGATGAGAATAAAAAGGCAGGTCAGTTAGCCCATTGTAATGAATACACCTGAAATTCACCATGATAGTTTCCAGAGAGGACCATGTGGAGGTTGACCTGACAGAGTATATTGCTAACAATAAGACTGGTGGCTCACATTACTAACAATCCCTTCCTCCCCTCTGTAAGTGGATATTTACCCATACCTTCACGTGTGTTTATTTGGTATTCATTACTAACATAGTATTATAAAATTACCTGTCCATATCATAGCGAGGGGCAGCAATATGCATCATCTCTACAGCACAACAAGCTAAACCAAATGTCATGGGCCACATTGAACCTTTACGGCCCCAGTTCAATAAATCGTCAAGTCGTGCAACAGCAAATTCTGCCATGTTCGTAGCATCTTGAAAAGGCGAATACGGTCTTCTTTCATTGGGATTCGGTGCAGGTAAATGAGTTTGGCGAACTTGATCAACGATTGGAGAGAAAACACCCTTCTTTACAACTGAAAGTACCGTACCGGGAGTATTGACAGCCAAAGCTTTTATTGCCTGCATATTTATATTTACCTGAAAGATATGCGCAACATCATTATTAAAAATAACCACAATAATATTTTTGGAAAGGGCACGAATCAAAAAATTGGCTATTGAAAACGAAAATATAATGATAGAAAATAGACTCACAAATATAGTTTGTTACATGAACTAGGAGATAACTAAAATACGCTTTTATCTTATGAACTAAGCTAGAAAATTATAACAATTTTACGTAATTTCAGAGTGCGTTTACGAAGTTGCCTAAATAATAATTGCATGTTTGACAGTTTATTCGTGTTTACGAAGGATAGTTTTAAAAAATATTTCATATAAAAACTATTATATATACTATAAATACTATCAATAGAATATAAAAAAAAACTTTTTGCGAATTAATTTCTAGTTTTAGAAGATAAACATATCTGCATACAAAATTTTGAAACTGCTTGTAATTTGTGGCTTGCTTCTTCAAACACACAGATTAGTGCTTGAACGTTCCGCTAAGCTATCAATGACAGCTCATCGAATGTCAATGCTAAAACGATGGCAGTCTGTTATTTTTAATATATGTCAAATTTAATTTAAACATTTTCATTTTTTTAAATAACATCTATTAGATGTGTTTGAATATTATGATAAGAATAGGTTTTAAAATAAATATTCAGACCTTTGAACATAGTCTTTTTAATGTGTGATATTCAGATAAGAGTTAGTAAAGGATAAATATAATATTCATTTTATAATATAATATATAATATATTGAATAAAAAATTAATGTTACTGAATATCCTTAAGGACAATTACTATTCACATACTAATCATATTTAATAACAATGAGTTCAATCCAAAAGGTATAGTTGAAATTCATTCAAATTTACTTTTCTAGAATTTTAGTCGCTACTTTCCCTTATTGTTACTTTGCCTGTCATGTCTAATATTCACCAATTTTCATAAATATAACTATATAAAAAATTCAAATTCATTGTGTAGCACTCTTTCACAAGTTTATATTATTGTTTCCTTGAACAGTTTACTTTTACAATATTGTTTAATTCGAGTTTTTACCTAATATAATTTCATATATATCGTGGTAGTCGTAGAATACTGACAGGTCTTTATATGTAATATTTGTCAGATCCATCAGTATTCTACGACTATAACGATATGATTTATATATACTCATCACTTTTTCTTTAATGCAATAACACTTTTCAAGGTAAGAAAATGGTGTAATTTTGAATTTGATGAAAATGAACCACAAAAAAAGAACATAAAGAATCCTAAGCAGTCTGAAAATATGTTATTAGAGGAGGTAAGACATATAATACTATATATACTATACTATATAATATATAAAATACAAACATTAAAATATGTACCAGTTGGGTTGTTTCTGAAGTACTACTATGTCTACACCCATGGAAGCTGCCCTAAAATTTATTATAATTTTATTTTCATTAAGTGAAGTAGTATATATTAGACTACAAAAATTCATTTTTAAAGTAATATAAACTAACATCTACAAATACATGTATAGATGTTTATCAATATATCAAACTGTAACTAAACAGTCTATGCATGCATTACACAAAAATCACTGGCTGTTTGATTTTTTTGCCGGTTAAAAATAATATGGTAACCCCGCCTACACTAATGGGATACGCTGGCGGAGCACCAGTGAAGGGTGATAGATGAGAATGAAAACAGGCCAGTTAGCCCATCATGATGAATTCATCAGGAATTAACCATGATAGTTTCCAGGGGAACCGCGAGGAGGTTGACCTAGTTGGGTATATTGCTAGCAATGGGATTCTCAGTTTCCTATACTTACAATCCCTTTCCCCCCTGGATGTTTGGTTAGGTAGTACTCACACAGACATTGCATGCAGTCTAATATCAAATTCAAATTTTATATATAGTATTATTATATAGGTTGTTTTACATATTATCCCATTAATTAATTAAGTTTGTATGTGGTAACTTTCCAATTTAAAGTTTATAATATACTTACATACATAACTTTTTACCAACTACAGAAAGTGGCCATTTCTAAAATTGAAAAATCTGACTATGGACATGGAACAGTAAATATTAATGATAAAAATTGGATGAAAACTTTTGATCCTGTAATAGTTGAAGATTTAGCTATCCATAATAAAAAAATACAGGAAGTGGAAGAATGGTTAAAATCTTGTGCTGGGAAAAATCAGAGTGACATACTACTCATGACAGGTCCAGTGGGCTCTGGGAAGACAATTACAATTTCCATACTTGCAGCCAAACATAACATTAAAGTTACAGAATGGATTACACCACTGGATATTGATATGCCTTCTGATTATGGTAAGACTGTTTCTTCATGTCAATGTCAGCAAAATTATAAAAATAGATGTTGCCTGTTGTTTATATACAACTTAGAATAAAAGAATAAAAATCTCAAGTCAGAGTAAACAGAAGAACCTATATGCCTTCCATTAATAAATTTGAATAGACCAAATAAAGCTGATTTAATGCAGGTCTATATATATATATATATATATTGTTAAATAAATTTCTTACGTAAATATTTCATTTACTGAATTTAATATTGCTTTAATTTCTAATGAAAAATAAATATTCCTGCATAACAATATCCTTTATTATCTTGTTAGGTGACTATGAATTTAAAGAAAAACAATCAACAAAGTTTCTAGAGTTCATCATAAAAGCTGCCAATTTTACCTCATTACTAGACAACAATGATAGAAAATTAGTAATAGTCGAGGATTTTCCAAATACTTTTATAAGGACACCATCAGAATTCACAGATGTTTTGCAGTAAGTTTATTAAGAAGTAATAATTTTTATTACTATATAAAGTACAGCAATGTTATTTCTAAATGCAAAAATATATTTTAGGCAATATAAATACAGAGCCAAATCACCAATAGTATTTATATGTTCAGAAACTCATTCAGACACAAAGAATACAGCATTGAATCTTTTTACTCCAAGCTTAAAGGAACAATTTCACATACATCATATTATGTAAGTATGTTAATAAATTATATGTTTTAAATGATTTTCTTAATACAAATTAGACTTACTATTAATGTTTTTTTGTGGCTTGCTTATTTTTATATTTATGTACAGTTACAAGATATTTATACAAACAATTTTATGGATAAAATATATACAAAAATTAAGATTTTTAAAATATTTTGGCATTTATCAATTGATATTGAGAATATTTTTAAACACGTTTCCAACACAAATAATAAAAAGGTAATTTAAACATTATAATTAGAAATTTTTAAAGATTGGTACTTAATGCATCAAACCTGACAATGATAAATAAAGATTGTGTCACACAATAATATTTACTTCAAATGTAAAAAATTCAGTTATTTTGATTTAAAAAGTAAACTATAGGACCAATTTGTTATTTCAGATAAAAAAGTAATTTTTCAAATCGCTTTAAAACTGATTGAATTATAAGGTAACAAAAAAAAAGAATTTAGAACATCCTTATTTTTGAAGTCGGTTGAAAACAAGGAAATCTTAAAACAGGTGGCAATACATATAATAAAAAAAAATTCACAATAATAAAAAGTAATATTAATTTCAGGTTCAACAGCATATCTACAACAGGTTTAAAATTTGCGTTAAAACGAGTATCAGAAATAATAAGTAAGAAACATAAGGCGGTATATAATGTTCCTACAGCAGATATGATAGATTGTGTTGTAAACTCTTCAGCGGGCGATGTAAGATCGGCGGTCTTAAATTTACACTTCGCATGTCTAAAAGGTTATTCATCTTTCTATTTATATTTTTAGTATATAAAAATCTTACGGAAATAACTATATACCTCTTATTTCAACCAGAAATGTTCTCCTCTTGAAAATTGATAATCAAAAAGTAGGTCACCCTATAAGAAAGTTCATCTCTATACCTTATTCATAGTAATTGTCGGCCTTTAAGCCCTAAAATGACCATTTCATCTTTTTAATAATAGAATCGACTTCTAATAGTATAATAAAAATTTATATTGTGTATAAATGTAACATGAGCTTATAGTTCGTTATATTCTGACTTATATGTTACTTTTATTTTTTACTGGTTAGTTGATTAGAATTATTTTAATTCTGCTAACATTAATTACTATCAACACTCGGAATAGTCAGGTAATCAATCACTACTATTACCTGACTATATTACCAGAAGTTCTATAATATATTAGTAATCAGTTAATTAATCTTATTTTGCAGGTTCAAACATGGATTTAGAAACAAGTATTGTAATAGAAAAAGAAACTAAAAGTAAAACAAAAAAGAAAAAGAATTCCAGTAAATTTCTATCACTTGGTAAAGACCAAACTGTGAACATTTTACATGGTGTTGGTAGAGTACTCAATCCTAAAGGTATTTTCTATATATATTATGAATGTTCACAATTCAATAGTTATATATTTGACTTTTTTTATGGGTGAAAATGGTATAGTAACCCCACCTGCGCTAGCGGAATACGCTGGCGAAGCACCAGTGAAGGGTGATAGATGAGAATGAAAACAGGTCAGCACATCATGATGAGTTCATCAGGAATTAACCATGATAGTTTCTAGGGAGAACCACGAGGAGGTCGACCTGGTTGGGTATATTACTAGCAGTGGGATTCTCAGTCTTCATTACTAACAATCCCTTTCCCCCCTATATTCGACTATTAACTAGGTATTAAGCTACTGAAATGTGGAATATTTAATGTAACAAAAAATTACAAAACGGCTTGTTTACAAATTTTTTTTTTATAGACAAGCTACTAAAATGTAGTTAATATTTTTTTTTTTATTAATGTCAATATTAATATTGTGTTTTTTCTTACAGTGGCTTTTACAGAAAAAGGCAAACAATTAACACACTCTCCAAAGGATGTGATTGAACAATTTTTGAGTCAACCTTCTTCTTTTGTAAACTTTTTAGAAGAGAATTATTTACCTCATTTCTCATGTTCAGATCACACTGATAAAGCTGCGTCTGCACTCAGTGATGCCGACTTTATGCTAGCAGAATGGAGAGTAAGTTACGAGTATAAATTGTTACGCAAAAACTTTTTTAATCACGAACACGCCGACAAACGACAAAATATTTTGCAAATACATACACTACATTATAAATATTGTTTCCCTTTTTCTGCAAAAAAAAAAAGAAAATGGCAGCATCACTCGTCCAAATTAAAATGGCATCGTTGGAGTAAATTTTATGAATTTCAAAAAATTTAAACTTAAAAAATATCATTTAATACAGATTGAAATCAAAGTTATTATCATTCTAAGATAGTTCAGCGGTTATTATATTATTATATAATCAGAACTTTTTGTCATTCTTCGTTTTCTTTTGGAAAAGAATTTAATTGAATTTGTCTACAAGTGAAATTAAATTCTTATATCTTGTACTTGTCATAATGGTTTTTATATGTTAAAGAAAAAAACAATCTTTTCCCTACTAGTATTGAATTCTATCGTTGCTAAACCTCTATATTTTATTTTTGTTTACCAAGACGTAGGCTACACGACTGCTGCAATTCTACGTGCGTCGTTTATTTTACTAATACCGTATTTTTACTAAGAAATTCATATCAACAATTTTTTACATCTGTGTACATATTCAGAGCCATTCATACTATATTACTTTATAGCCCAAGAATAAATCTGCAATGTGCTTAATAAGTAAATAAGTTTCACGAGTGAGCTCTTACGGGATCTCTTGAATAATCCACTTCCAGCAGTCATCTGGAGACCTCTCTATTCTAAGATATTAATTAGAAATGAAAATAATTTTATAAAACATTTATTTGTGTCAACAGGAAAAAATGTGCCAAGAATATGGATTATATACTGCAGTGGCTGGCATAATGCTAGCAAACAAAGCCCCTATATCAGCATGGAACCCTGTAAGAGGACCAAAGAATATGAAAGTTCAATACCCGTAAGTCAGTTAATATTAGATTTTTTTTTTTTTTTTGTTATTTTTCATGATTTCTTATGAGTTATGTTACAATGAATTTTCTTCATTACATTTAGGCCAGATATTGTTTTCTTTTTATTTAAAAGGAAAATTATTACTTAGTTACATACAAATTTTATTAAGATTTTTATTATTAAAATTGTTTTAAATGGGCTTTCATATTGCCTTAATATTTTAGGTCACCTCAAGAATTACGGCTTGATGTAAATTATTTATATAAAGGGAAGGTGCTGGTTATGGATTATCAGACCTACAGCAAAATAATTGGATGCAACTCATCAGAACTGAATAATATATCTATACATTTATAATTTGTACAAAACCTCATCTGTCAATAAATAAAATAATAAATTATCAACTAGACAAATTATTACTGAAAATAGGTCATCGATAGGAAATTATATAAAACATGATATTAATGAAACATTAATAGGCAGGATCTATATTAAAGAAACATCAGGTATCAGGTATACATTTGCTTAATTTATTAAATGTAATACAAAATGTCAGAAACTTGGATAGCTTTTAAGCCTTATTATTAGTTGCAATTGGAACAGGAACTTTAGATCTGGGAACCAAAATAAAAAGATCAAATTACTATTACAATTTATTGACAAAGTCAAGAATCTTCTGGTTTACAAATAATAAAATAATATTAATTACATTAACAGTTCACTATTTTATGTGAATTCGTCCATCTGCACGACCGCCCATTATGTTGCGTTTCCATTTTGCAAGCTTTTGTAACAAAAACGTCCCATTAATATCGGTTAAACACGACTTCCTTGCACATAAACCGACAGAACACTACTTACCTCAGAACCTCTACTACCTTGCAGATCATATAAATTTTCAGATAAAATACAGGAAACGGATAATACTTACCTCCCAGATGTTTCTGGAATTGATCATTGGGGTTAATGAATGATGATCTCCTTAGAATAGCTATTATATTGCTGTTGTATTTGTGTGTATCTGTGATTGTATGTATATGGTTGTGTATATGAGTGGTCACGTGTATGTTTGTGTGGAGGAGTTAACGGGAGGAGGAGGAGGAGGACCTGGAGCGGCGGCGGCGGGGTGCCGCGCGTGGTGATCGCGACCGCGAGCGGCGGCGACGTGGCGGCGAGCGGCGGCGCGCCGGCGGGCTGCGGCGGCGGTACCTGCATAATACACAACAAACACATAAGGGTCCATTCTAAATCTCATTCACCCTCTAAATATAAATGTTATTTAATTCCGTCCCATCCGATCTCGTCCCGGCTTCGCATAGGCAAATACAATTTTCGAAAATAATGTATAGCCTAATGTTACTTGCTAATAATGTAGCTTTCTATATGTGAGAGTTTAAAAAATTGGTTTAGTTTTTGAGTGTATTCATTACAAACAAAGTATCAAATTTACATTTACAATTGACCATTTACAATTGAGTTAAAACTAGTTTATGTTTAGTTCTCTGTGATTACATACATGCATTGTTTCACTGAACCATCAAATTAATTTTTGAGAATAGAGCCTCGAAAAAAATTTTCTTTATATGTATTATTGATTACTCTTAATTTTATCAATAAGTACTCCACATATTAATATCGTTCACGAGTGTAAGATATTGAGTTCGCATTTAAATTGAACTCTACAATTAACATATTGCTTGAGAGCGGAAAACACATTTCATACTGAATTATTTCATCATTGTTCTAAAAGTCATTACTTCTCCTTTATTTTTCCATTAACATAGTTTAATCTTTGAGAATCTGAAACATTGTCATGTGATGAACCCACTACATAAAGTGGCGATCTCAATTCAGGTGGCTTTTGACCGTTCCTTGTGATTACAAATATAGGTAATGACATAAATATAGGTAAAGCATATTTACCTATATTTATGTCAAAAATTAGACACCACTTCTTCAAATGTGAGGGAAGCATTCTCTGGTACTACATCTGGTATACCTTGGTGGAGAGTGTCGTCGAGGCGGCGCGTGTCGCGGCGGCGGCAGGCGCGGTGACGGTCGCCGGGGCCGCGATGGCACCAACACCGGAGCCGCGGTGATCTCTTGCCCATCGATTTGTCCTAACGAAATCAAACAATATATTTTTCTATCTAAATTAATATTATAAAGAGGAAATATTCTATTTTTTTCTGTAATGGATAAACACAGATCTTGACTAATTCCAAAAATTCTTTTACGTATTAGATTTTTCTTTATCAGTTAAATATAGAATAATAAACAAAAATGTATGCACTGGTGGTGTACCAAGCTACCTAAACCTCATACTTATCATAAACAGCAGATGTTTTTGTAATTTGTTTAATGAATTATTAATAATGTAAGTTTTATTGTTAAGTGCTTAGTTTTTAGATGCTGACCTCCATCCATGTGTTTCATTGCATTTTCTGCTTCATCCGGATTGCTAAATTCCACATAAGCATAACCACGTCCATTATGGGGATGCAGTCGATCCATTGGGAACTCTACAGCCTTCACACTACCATATGTCGAAAATATTTCATGTATATGATCCCGAGTTACATTTAATGAAAGCCTTCCAATATGGATACGTGTTGGTCTCGGGGGAGGGGAACGTTCGCGCTTTTTACGTGCTGGTGATCTGAATAACAAAAAGATTATGATTTTATATTTCTAGTTGTATACATACATAAAAGTTACATACATAAAGTAATTGTACTTCATATCATACTACCCTTTATTGCTAATAAAGGGCATGACACAGTTTGGCAAATTGATATATATATATATATATATATATATATATATATATATATATATATATATATATATATATATATATATATATATATATATATATATAGTAAATATGAATTTGTTGTATCCAAATAAAATCTAAAAATAATTTGCAAGCTCAGGTAAATATGCTGACTTTTAATGAAAATGTCATATTGCCATATATGTATCTCCAACAAATTGAAATATCCTGTATCAATTTTAGCGTAAAATTTTATTGTTAGAGTTTTTGCTAAACTTTACCTGTCATGCTTGTCCTTGGTTTTTACTTTATCGTTAGGTGGTGCTGATAATTTCTTCTTATCACCCAAAGGCGATCTGTCTCTTATTTTATCCCTATCTGGTTCGCGTCTATCCTTTATAGGACTTTTATTATGAACATCGCCAGTTCTGAAACAAGTTAAAATATTATTTTTCTAATAAACAAGTAGGTAATATAATTTCCGATTATATTAGAATTTTCAACTTGCCAACTTGAAGGCGATGATTTTGACTTTTATTATTATCAACACAAAAATGTAAAACTTACAGAACTTGATCATCTGACAGAATAGTTATGCAATACATGCTCTACCTTTAATAATACCTAAAAATACAAACATTAGTATTCACAAAAAAGTTTAATATAGTCAAAATTATTTATCATTAGTATATAGATCTGTGTCCATACCAGGTATACATAATATTAGATACCAATGTCTATAAAACCTATTTATGTTATTCTTATTTTGTACTTCATGTCTGTTACATTTATACTACTTATGTGTTTGTCGTTTGCACATAACCAATATTTATTAATTTATGTAAAAACAACATTTAGGCAGAATATTCATAGTAATTAGAATTTCCTCTTTTTTTAACTACTTACTTCTTCTTTGGTCTTGTACGATCATGGTTACTGCTGCTACTACTAGAAGAACTTGAAGATGAAGACGATCGAGAGGAGCTGCCTGAACTACTTGATGATGAATGTGAAGATGATCGTGACGAACTGCTCTCTGATGAACTGAAAAATATTTCAATAAGTATAAAATATTCTATATACTTTTGCCATGCGATCCTGGCATAGAATAGGCCACTCCTTCCTTTCCTGTAGGTGTCGTAAGAGACGATTAAGGGAGGGTGAGGGATGGGCAGCAGCTTTCCTCTTAAAACATTTACAAAGCCTAACTGCAGTTGCTAATCTGCCTGTCAAACATAGCAGCTACCGGCAAAACCACACAAGGGGACTGTTTATGTTCAGCAGTGGATAGTTAAAGGCTTTGATTTGATGATGATGATGAATCAATACACAAGTTTTTACTCCAAGTGATACACCTATTAAGTCTAGTATTTATATTTATACAAAGCAAGATAAACTTCAATTATAACACTTCCTATTAAATACTATTATAAATGTGAAAGTTTCCACTGGATGGATAGATGTTATTTACTCTTTCACACAAAAACTACCAAAGGGATTTAAATCAAAGAAACATGGATGCTTTGAAACATGGATGAATGCCTATCTTAAAACATAAGAAACCTTATATAACGATTCACACAAAGCCCACATTATGACTAGTAATTATATATTTATATTATTAAATATTTCGGAATAATAATGTTTTTAGAAGATTAAAATATTAACCACACCTGTGCTATTGGTATTTGCTAGCAGATCACAATGAGGGATAATAGGTGAAAATTAAATTTCCAAGAAATAACTACATTCAGAATTAACTATTTTCAGAAGAACCAGATAAAAAAAACCTGTTATATTATTAGTAATGTACCTGTTTGACTCCATTACTAACAATACCTTTTCCTCTATAACATTAGGTTCTTTTTTAATAGATGATAATGAAATGATCACCCTGTTTGAGAGATGATGTGAATGAAAAGGCAGATCAGCTAGCCCATCCTGATAAATACACCAGGAATTTAGCATGATGGTTCGGGGGGAGGGGGGGATGTGACTTGATATATCTAGCAATGGAAATGGTAGTCCACATTACTAACAATCACACCTCCCCTGACAGAGCATATTACTATTGGATTTATAACAATATGTTAATACAGTCAATTGCTAAGGAAAAAAGGATTATTAACAATAAGATAGCAATCCTATTGCTAGCAATATACCCTATTGGAAAGAAGGGGCTGTTATGACACAATGATTTCCAGGGGGCATACAGGTCAACCTGACTGGAAATCATAGTGGTTAATTAATCACAATGGGCTAACTAATTCACTCTACTACTCACTGGTGCCCTACCAGTTTATACTGATAGTGTAGAAGGGGTTACAATTCCCCTAAAAGGGGGGAGAGAGACGGGATTGTTAGTAATGGGGATTAGCATCCCTGTTACTAACAATATACTCTATCAGGTCGACCTCCTTTCAGTTCCCCCTGGTAACCATTTATGATAGATTTATAGTTTAAGTTGTTATGAGGGGCTAACTAAACTAACCTTTCACTTCATCCTCACCTATCATCCCTCACTGGTGCCCTGCCAGCAGACACCAACACCATATCCTGCGAGCAGGGTTAACATTCCATTTTCAGCCATTATAAAAATATACCCTATTAGGTCTACCTCCATACAGTACTGATCCAGAAACCATCATAACCATTTATTGTTGAATTCATCACAATGACCAAGTGACGTGTGTCATCTTAACCTATCATCTCTCAGTGGTACCTCGCCAGTGTATACCAATAGTGCAGTTGAGATTAGCATTCCATAATCATTCATTAAATGTACAGTTAAGTCAATTAACTTTTTTATTGTCTCTAACTTGAGTATTCTGAACTATCTCCCAGATATTTGCCAAATATACTAAATTTAAAGTAAACTAAAGCAGTGTTATATTAGTTTTTATATGCAGTTTGGTAATGATTTAGATAAACACTTTTCAAGAATTTTTATTATAGAATGGAAATTATTTTTCTTTAAATTTTATATAAAATTCAATATCTGCTTCTTTATCTTTTAATGTATTTTAGACCTCTAAAAGCGGGCCAGCTTGAAATTATTTAGACGGGTACACGACTAACATAACCTATACTTGTACCATAACTAAAATCACTTTTAGATATATTCAACAATTTAGTACAATACCTTCCACTACTATCGCTGCTACTGGATCCCGAATCACCTTTCTTCTTTTTATTCTCTTTATTTATTTTCTTTTTCTCTTTATCCGACGAAGCTGATGGTGACTTATTACGTGCCCTTAAAATGAAACCAAATAATTTTACTGGACTGGCAAGAAGACTAGTTATGAAATTTTTAATCAAGTATTACTTACATGTTATTATTTCATTAATATTGTAACGTAAATAGTTTTATATTTGCATGAATAATCAAAAGAAGGATACAAATCTAATAACACAAGCGCGTCTGGCCTAGAATTGCCAACTCCATTTTGTGTTTTCGGGTTAAATCGAATTTAAAAGGGGATGGAACTGTCCAAACTTTTATCGTATATAATTGATATATATATATATATAATATATAAGTGATAAGTTAAAATAATTACATCATTCAATAAAATTTCTATCAAATCAAATACAGAACTTGTAGGTATAACGAAATTAAATGGGCTAAAAGGCTAAGTTCTAAGTTGGCAACAATAATCCGTCCGACCGGCGTCCATACATTTTTCTGTTCTAGTTTTGCTACAAAGTTATATTATTATACAGCTTTATTAATTTTTTAATTTGTGCACAATATGTAAATAATAATATAAAATTGTAAATAATAATAATATAAAATGTAAATAATAATATATAATAAATAATAATATAAAAACCTTCAAGAAAAGAGTATATTCCTTTTTAAAAGGCCAGCAGCACACCTGTAATGCCGCTGGTGTTGTGGGTGATCATGGGCGGCGGTAGTCACTTACCATCAAATGAGCCGCATGCTCGTTTGCCCCCTGTGTTGTAAAAAAAATGAAAATTTTAAATAATCTCTGAGCTTCTAAGATCTTGAAATGTAAATTTTTATGAATTATGCAAAGAACCATCCCGATCACGTTAACAATCTAAAAAAAAAAATATCATAATTTGAACAACTCGTTTAGGAACTACGAGGCCACGAACAGACACACAGAAACACCAAACTTATAATACTCCTCATTTTACGACAGGGTTTAAAAATATTGACTAATATATATTCCTACGGAAAAAAACGACTTCAGTCGTAAACATGTAATTAACTAATTATTACATTATTTAAGAGCGTACTTAAGTTTTACTTACAGAAGTGTGGCAACATCGCAATTATCTGTTAATTTTTAAAAACATTTGAATATTTTCTAATATTTTTAAGATTTCTGACTGATTATTTAAAATGTTCTCTGCCAGCGAAAACATAGAACACATGGAATCCCATACCACCGTTAATTCAAAATCTCTCTCTCTAGATTCTATTTTAAATTGAATTTATAGTATAAGTATTCCATATATACCTAAATGTCAAAACATTCAAGTACCAAGGTTAAAATTAACATAACAGCATTTGATATATTTAACGCTTAGATTATTATTTATTGATATTTAAGTTCAAATCAAATTGATCCAATATTAAAATCTGAATCTATTTACAATCCATCTAAAATTTGGCTCACAGCTTACCTAATGTTCTTAATATCTATTAATTAAGGTGACATTGATGCTCCTTTCCACTTTGGGTTTGCTGGAAAAGAATTCTTTTAGGTCTAAATTTTCCTTTGTATATTTGTTTACCTCTGTTTTATTTTTTATATATAATTAGTGTGTACGATAAAGTATTAAGTAAAGCGGTTTACTCTGTCTTTCAACTGAGCACATGATTAGACAATAGAAGAATCTAAAAGAAGAACTCTCAGATATGTTGTCTGATATCAGACAGTTCATATTAAAACATTGCTGTGCAAATATTCAAGAGGCGATTTTTCGTGCTCTTTTATTATTTTATTCTATACGCGCTATTATTTTATTTATCTATTTATCCCTTATTAACAAAAACGTCTAACCTTATTTTAGTTATTAAAGTGTTTCTCTTTCTTTTGATTTAATTTCTTATTTGAAAGAAACTGGCAAAACAGTGTAATAGTTAAAATAGATTTATAAAAGGTTTTTATTAATAAAATAAGGTGTTTTTATTATTAAAATAAAATAATTTATATAATAATATAATTATATAAATAATAAAAACATTTGTTTTATTAATAAATTAATAAAATAAATGTTAATGCACAAATATGCATAATAATGGTGCATACGGCGTATTTACCTTAAGTACTAGTAGGTAAAGTAAAGCTGTGCCCTAAGACAGTTTTTTTAATGAAATTTAACTCCGCCTAAGTTAACAATATACGCTGGCGGGGTACCAGTGATAGGCCAGAATGAAAAGACAGTTCAGTTAGCCCGTCGATGTATATGTGAGTGACCATGTGGAGGTCGACCTGAGAGAACATATTATTAGCAATGGGACTGGTAGTCCGCATTACTAACAATCCTTTCCTCCGCCTTAAGACAGTTTCTCTCAATGAACCATAGGATTACTACTTAGAAGATACGATTACTATTATATTTTTATTACTTCAACCGTATCTATAAATGACACTAATTTATATTATACTTAATAATACCACAGTACAATTAATAGTATAATACACTTTAAAACTAGTCACTTTTAAATTTCAGGAACGTACTAACTTTTCTGTGAAAATTATGCCGACCTTGCTGTACATGTGCCTCTCGCCAAAAGTAACTATCAATTTCAAACTGAATAATACATAAGTAATCTAAGAATACATATAAGTAGGTAAATAGCTTTCAGTGCTAGTTACAAGGTACAGAATCGTGACACTCTAGTCCTCAAGATTGGCAACATATGAGGGGTTTTATGAGCGACACAGTATACTCTGTTATATCCATGGTACTGTTCATGTCTATAGGTGACGGTTACCAATTACCATCAGGTGGGCCGTCAGCTTGTTTGCCATTTTAATTTGTATAAAAAAAATTATAATCACAATACCCATACAAATGTAAAAGTATCCTGTAAATAAGTGAAATGAAAACAGTACCTGTAGTTTCTTGCAGGATCTTCCCACTATATAACATCCTGTAGCCAACAATAGAATGACAAAAATGACAATTTGAAAGAGATTATAAAAAGTGTAATTAAATAAAAATATTTCCAATTCAATTCTAAATTTTAATTTTTAAGATACATTCAAGGCCAGATGTGCCATCATCTGGCTATTGTAACGGCTATATCAGTATTCTCTAAAATTATATGAATCATTAATTGCAATAAACAAAAACAGAGGCTGCATAGCTGCGTAGTTTTGCCGTTCTATAACTAACAGCCGTTGAGTGGCCCAAATGATCCGCTATAGCCCCCTCGCTGGGCGACACGGCCGACACATTAGCTCCACTGGGCTGCCCGTGTTGCATTTATGAGCCCCCACCTACTCTCATTTCATTCTTTTCTCATTTCCATATTAATATATTACCAAAATATTTAATATACGCCATCGATAAATTATTGACGATAACTGCCATTCATACTTTCTTGTTTATGTTCGTATCCAGTTCGCTAGTTATTAAACTCAATTTTGTCCGCTGTCTGCGAATATAAGACAAATATACCTGACTGAAACTGTACAAAAACCGGCTACTTACATACGTAAATCTTATATATAGGTAAATCTTAAATTTTATCAGTAAATCTTGAGTAATTCTACCAATATAAGTTGATAATTGTCAATTTTATAAAAACAAGATCGTTTTTGTATCTTAAACTAAACCTATTTTTCTGACCAATATGCAAATTTATTGTTCTGTCTATTTTTTTCTTAAATTTGTCACGTTTCTGATATAAGTATAAAAAAATAGATTTACCGTAATTCGGACTTTTATAGTGCTAGACATAATTTTAGACATGTTCAGTGTGTTATATTTGTGCTCGTGCTTTTGAATAAATTATAAGGAAAATATATGGCGATGAAATTATAGGGTTAAAAGACTATTATGTCTATGTAAGATATTCCACAGGAATGGCAATGCATGAGCGGTATCGTATATGACAAAGTATAATGTATGATGTCCAGATGCCGTTTATGTCTATGACTATGAGCATAGTAGCTTGGCAACATATTTAAAAAAGAAAATATTTTATTTAAAATGATATCTTTCTATAACTGGCAAGATATATTTTACACAATATCAACCGTAACTTAACAAAAATAATATTATTAAAATAGATTTTTCAAAAAAAATCTATATTATTTTAACTATAACAATCGATTAACAAATAAAGATTAATTGTTATGTAGTAATCTAAATTTACATAAGTATATTATTTATTAATTTTCAGTTAAATATTTTTAGGTATAGACTAAAAATAAATATACAAAGATATTTCGAGGGTAATTTGAGATAAGATTACGTTTATAATTAACTACATTATAGGCATATATGTTGTTACGAAATTACGGTATTAAACGGGTGTAGCCTCATGCACAATAACTTTGAAATACGAACTTATTTTAAGAGCCTGATGGATTTGGCCCAAACTTGGCCTTAACCTGGTAATCTAACAAATTTATCAGGGATATTCAATAACTCATTTTGTGGCAATCTATATATACCAACGACCCAAATAAATATTTTTCGTGACCCGGATATAAAGTAGCCTATGTCCTTTTCCATTCCAAATATCACGTGTATATAAAATTTCATTACGATAGGTTGAACCGTTTAAGCGCCAAGAGGTAAGAAACAAACTCATTTTCACAATTAAAGTATTAGTAAAGATATGTTTGTATCCATCTAGTAACTAGGTAAATACCAATTTGTACATAGATTTTTTATTCAAATGAACTGTAAGACGGGCAGCAATTGTCCCACTATCATATGGTTTAAGTTCGATCCCTAAGCAATATATGTATTTATATACATACATATAAATGTTTAAGGCAATTTAATCATTATTATAAAAATAAGAAAAAGCAAGGAATAAATATAAAATATGAACTTACGTCGTTATTATAAAACAAAAACTTTTTTTATCTTATCATAAAATAACAATTTTATTTAACCATTAGCTACAAAACAATTTAACAATGTATAAGAAACTGCTTTATAATATTCAAATGTTAGATGCGTAAATGTGTATTTTTTCACACGGTTATGTAGATTTGTGTAAGCGAAGTAATCCTGTTCCGATAGCGGGCCTTTATGGTTAACAGCTTTTTCATACAAACTCATGAATATTTTTCAATAACACTATTATTATATTCGACCTATATCCGTGAACAGTGATATTAATAATAAGCACGCAATAATCCGGGGATCAATTTCACAGCAAAACATGTTTTATTACACTTAGAAAACAATTATCAAGCACGGGTATCTGTCGCCACTATCATACAAGATAGTGGACCTGAAATTAATAATTCTAAAATTATTACTTTTTATGAAAAGTCTTTTTAGGGTTCTGTTATATATCAATAAAATTATAGAGATTTCGTATTAGAACAATAATAAAGAACTCATATATATACTAACAATAATTGCATAATATACGAGTATGTACTGATTTTATGGATGAGTGTGAAACCGTTAGTTTTAATATGCAAAAATTTAAGTTTTCCATACTAACACGGATAATTTTTTTTTTTTGTGTTAATCACCTATTATCAAGAAGTCCTAAAATGTAGATCATAAAATATTCAATGAATTTACTTAAAACTGATTGTTTTATTTTTTAATTTATAAACATTATTATTATGCGAATGAATGCAATAATAAAACATTTACCAGAGGAAGACTTTGTACAAAAGTCCTTTGCTTAGGCCCCTCCGTCTCATTCGTGTTTCTATCGTGAAGCAGTTGTGTTTACATGGCTGTATTTCGGTTTGAAGAGTGGGTTATGACAGTGAATTTACAGGGTACAGAGGAAAAACACCTGAGTCCTCAGAAATGGCAACACATGGGGGGTATCATGGCATCATGGGCGAAACAGTATACTCTGTTTTGTCCAAGGTGCTGCTCGTGTCTATAGACGACGGTTACCACTTTCCATCAGGTGGGCCATCAGCTTGTTTGGCATTCTAAGTTGCATAAAAAAACATAGTGCTAAAGTACTATGTTTTATTATTGCATTAATTTGCATTATAATATTATATAAAAATAAATATGTACATATAAAACTATTATCTTATCACTATAAAACAAAATTCTAAAACTATGGGTTCGGCAGTACATCCGACAAGTTGAGCAAGCTCCTCAAACAATTGAAATGCCAGATTTGACTATAGAACACACACATTTTACAACTAAAGAAGAGCTAGGTTTGGCAGCAGTTACTAACATTCAATACTTATTATTAAATACACTTTAGTTTCTTTTCATAGTAGTTACTAAGGAGTATTCAATTTAATTAGATTACTCGATCTTGAAGTTCTGGATTCGAGCCATGAGCATTTTGGGGTTGATGGCTAACATTCTATTTACATTTTACAGAGTTTATTAGATTTAAATATGTCGTTGTCTATATAGGCAATGATGTATATACGAATGCATACGAGAACTTAATTAGCTCACTGTGTTTTTGCCGTTTCCGACAATTGTTTCAACTTTATTCAGAATGGAATAAAAATGAACATAAATTTAATAAAAAAATATCAATACGTAGTATTAGTATTCGACCCACTCGGATTAAAAGTATCTACTATATACATATATTCCATCACTGGAAATTTATTCAGAAATTTAAAATCACAAACAGAGTAATTATATACTCTGTTAACAACATTTTAAACATCAACTTGAGTCGGTTACCTTTTATAAATAAAAACGGAAAATACTTTTAAAAATTGTATTTAAGCGTTTTCCCACGATTTTCCATTTACTGAAAATCAAAGTGTTTTATAGCTGTATTGAACAGAATTTGAAGACGAAGGTCTTTAACCAGTGCGTGTTGTCAGTGATGACATATGGAATCGAAACATGGTTCTACACGATTGCCCGTATGCAAAAGCTTCAAATTACTCAGCGGGCTATGGAGAGGGGTGTGCTCGGAGTCTTTCTTCGTGATAGAGTCCGAAACGTAGATATCCGCAAAAGAGCCAAAATAACTGACATAGCCAGAAGGGCCGTTAGCTTGTTTGTCATTCTAAGTTGTATAAAAAAAAAGAAGGATAAGCAAGCCGAAGTGGCAATGGGGGATAGGGAAGAAAGATTCTTGAGTGGCGACCGCGTACGGGCAAACGTAGTGTAAGACGACTCCCGACTAGATAGAGCGACGACCTGAATTGCATTGCAGGGAGTCAGTGGCTCAGGACCGTTCTTTATGGCAGTCTATGGGGGAGGCTTACATCTAGCAGTGGACGGGTAATGACTGAAATAATGATGATTATGATAGCCGGATTAAGATTTTGACTTGAGATAATTGGTCACAAGCTTGTATACCTCTACTGGGAGTTCCACTCATGCACCATGCACCCACAATATTATATCATACTTCTTACCACAGAAATAGATAATAGCTTACTATTGATGTATCTATTTAGTATAATAATGATGAGAGGTTAGGATATTCATAACATACATCGTTATTTGTTGAGACTCCTACGTCCAAATTTTGATATGAATGTAACAACTGAACCTTCATTGACACGGGTCATTGTGTGGGTAAAAAATCGTTTTATAATCCCTACTAACATTTTGTCGTATAAAAATAGACAGTGCGCTAGTAGGTATGTATTTGCGAAATAAATAAATCGTTCAAGGATTTTTTTTTCTAAATACTAGCTTGAATCCTTCGACTCAGTGCAATGACGAGCTATGTCTTGAATTATCGATTATCCCAGGCTTACAAGCGGTATCGAAGCCTTAAGTCTTAGGAGAGATTTTGCCTCACTTTGCGTGTTCTACCGCTTATACAACGGATTCTGCTCAGAAGTATTATTCAATATGATGCCTACGGCCACTTTCTACCATTGTACGGCTCACCATCGACAGGGAGTTTACTCTCATACCCTACAGTCGCGGACAACGCGGTTTTAGAGATGTTTTCTCCCACGAAAACTCAGGTTATGGAATGAGCTCCCTGTCGAGGTTTTCCTAAGAGCATGGGGTTCTTCAAAAGGGGGGTAAAGAGGTTTTTTCAGGGTCGGCAACGCGTGCGTAATATTGCAGGAGTTCATAGGTTACGGTAACTACTTACCATCAGATGGGCCGTATGCTTGTTTGCCACATCAGTGATATAAAAAAATCTATATAATCAGCTAATGATGATTTCATCTAACTGATCACCTCAGTCTATATAACTACGACTATTTTAGGTTTTCTATGAGGATTTTATTTAAAAATTTAAAATCCATACAACGCCCTCTCCACAACAAGCTGTATGAGTCGGAGCTTTCCTAATAAGATTCCCTAAGTCATGATTATTATTAATAACATGCATTACTTATTAATTTATACGAATGATTTTAGAGGGCTAATTAAAAAATAAATAAAAGAATGCAAAAAATAGAGAATAAGAAACAACAAACTTTGTAATTTATTAGCACTCTTACTCCGCTCTCTATACCTATATAATTGGATATTTATAGGATAAATTGTATAAAAAATTAAGCTGAATTTTGTACTAATCACCCCAGTTGCAACAAGCTAGACACAGTCTTATAACTTACGGGCCGTTGACACATATTACCCGACGGGCTTATAAAGCGCTCGGCCAGAGCACGGAATCTAAACATCCTTCCGATTTTACGCGCGCCGCCGTCTCTGTGCATCGCTCCTCGGATATCCGTTGAATGGAATAAGGCAGTTCGCAAGTCAGTTCCTACACGTGTGAAGGACACATTGATTGCTAAATAAAAATTTACACTAAAAATTGTGTGATCTTGTGTTTTGTGTAAGTATTAATTCATATTAATCTTATTGTATTTATTAATAAAGTTACTGATAATAAAAAAATACATACATCCGCAAAAAACCAACGACCTTTCTATAGAAAGAAAAAACTTTAAACATTTTAGATTAATATTTTAAAACAATTAAAAGATTTGATCGCATTATGTTTTGATTAATTGTTTGATTACAAACACCTATTAAAATTAAATTAGAATTACCTATCTATGCAACTTTAATTAATATTATTATAGTAATGCTATTAAATTACTTGCGAAAAAAGGCAAAACTTTTTTTTTATTCTTAAAGAGGGTTTATTCTCTTTATTGTCATAGGTGTAACAATATACAGACATTCATTTATTTAATTTCCATCTCTTATACCTAGTCTTACTAAATTAATCAATTTAATCCCTTCTTCTGATACAGGATTGTTTAGTATAATATTTCAATTGCCTAAACTATTACGAATATTAATAAATAATTCACGCCTTTTAATTTTTTTCCTCGTTCCATACACATTCCACATTAATATGGTACACGTCTTTTATCTTATTACACACTACAATTTTGAGTGTTAGATTTGCCCATCAAAAATACAAAGTTTAAAAAATTTGTATTTGGGATTTTTTTTTTTATTTATTTAAATCTTAATGCATAGTGAAACTATGTACATATGGCGAACTTAAAACCGGACGGTGTTCTCTATCAGTCAACCATTTGGCAAACCGAGAAATAAGTAGGTGGTGCATTATTGAATTGAAGGTATATAAAAAATAATACTTTATATAATCATATATTATAAACATATAATTAGAATAACATAAACATACATAAAATATATAAAATAGATAAATATATACATACATAAATAAATACATAAATATTACTACAACAAAAACTACAGTTAACTATATTAGAAGAGCAAATGAAACAATCTATGACTCAAACAAAGTAATCAGCAAGATTAAGTGTAAAAAAATAAAAAAGATTACAAAAAATAATAATAAAAGAAATGAAGTTTGTGTTTAAAACCTAGTTTAGTTAGGGTAGATCTTATGTCGGAAGTCAGTTCTAGTATTTAATAGAACAGTGAAAGAATAGGAAAAGAAGCCTGTACGATGACCAGGCATGTGAAGAAGAAGATTTCTGCAAGAATAAGTCCAGAACGAAGCCTTAATATCAAAACAATATCTTGTCTAATTAAACTGATCGTACCAGGGAATGCGAAGGAGATTAAATATTAAAACATTACGAAATTGAAAGTAGTGAACCATTGTGACGATGTTATTGATAATTGAATAAAAATGAAATAAAAAAATATTTAACACATAATAATATTACTTTTAATTTGGTACAGTTTTGCGCAAAAAATATACGACAAATAGGTATTAAATACTTAAATATTATCTAAAATAAGAAAGTGCTGCAATAAAATTAGTAGTAAAAACTACGCGGTATCTGAAGTGCTTTTATTCCTTGTCTTCATGCGATGTCTAAATCATACCAGGGAACACTATAAAAAACTTCGAATGGAATAGTATTAAAGTTATAGAGATATTATGATTACTTACTGCATAGTAGGTAACTTGCTGCCATAGATCTGTACATGAATATAACTTAAATTATATGTAAAATACTTATATTATTAAATAATCATATTGTTACAATTAGATATTCTTATAAAGATTTATCGATCAATAGAGTTATCTCCTATGTTAATAAAAAAAATTTGTCAGGATGGGAGAGGTGCTCATTATTATATTAAAATCTTATATATTAGTACTTAATAATTGACATTACAATAAAACAGCCTGTCGATGTCCAATAGTGGTACAAATAAAAAATTGATCACTTAATAAAATATTTCTATTTGTTAGTAATTTCGTTAAAAGATTATACCTTAAATATTTTTTTAAATTGGTTAATATTTATTATTTCTGTTAAAAAAAGTTATACCATACTATTAACGTATTCGAATTTAAAATGGCCGGAAACAAGAATTTTTTTTTTTTTTTTTTTCATTTATTGTGACTTTGGCGAAAGCCATCAGCCAAAAAGTAACAATTACAAGGTAATAGAATATAAAATTACAAGACAAATTACAAAAATGAAAAATTAAACAAAAATATTGGTTTGTGTCAGTTTAATTTTTTTTCAATTCAAAACACCCAGTCAATCAGGCGTGTCCACAATATTTTTTTTTTTTCATCTGTAGGGATTTCGTGTGATGTCCAACAGAAGATGATGTGTGGCCCGATTCCACTGCTGCTTGTAGTGCTTTCCACGGCGCTCGCCGCCCCCGCTGCTTTGTTTGACGATACTTCTGTGAGTACACTGAATACCATTTTTTTTTTTTCAATTAGACAATATATCAGAACATTCACTTATGCGACAGTTCGTGTAAACTAACTACACTGACAATATGGATGTAGCGTCAGCGGTTCCTAGTATAGTATAGTATCGCATATAAATAAATACCATAATATCACACCGTATTTTTTTATCTCATCTCATCGACATAAATCTAAAAGTTGTTTCATTTTCGAAAGTTTTGACTACTATTACAGCGATAGATAGATAGATAAATATTTTTTATTGTTTCGCCCATAAAATTGCAATAGTAAACTTATTATAAATACAAAAAATTATAAGAAAATATTACACTGAGAAAACAAACAATACCTTATCACTAAGAGCGATCTCTTCCAGGCAAACATTTTTTTTATCTTTTTTATTTAGAGGCTTTTATCCTATAAGGATATGTCAGCCTCATCATACCCTAAGGCAAACTTTGGATGAAGGACTTTCATACATATCAATATTTTATATCTATTAGTAATCAAATCGACTTCCACGATTAGATAATTTATATTTGTATCCTTGTTACAAACCAGGTATTATGAAATAAGTTCAGATTAAAATAATGAGAATCAGTAAGAGTAGATGTATGTTAAGGTGAAATTTATAAAAAAGGTGCCTAGTGGATACTTTTTATATGTACTATATGAACACTACTATTACTTTTTTAAATTAATACGTAACATTTACTTTTTCCATGCTATTTCGTAGGTATGGATATCAAAAGTCGGAAAATTAATGAAGTGGACCACTTTTAAATAGCGCTTCAAAAATAAAATAAACACCAGATTTTAAGTTAGGCCTTCAAGAAGACAACTGTGTAAACCGCAACCTATTTAATGGAGTAGTTTTTACGTGATGCTAGAAATAGACATACAAATAGACAGACAAAATTTCTAAAAAATATTATTTTGGTGTCTGTTGGTCTTATTAAGACACCTCATACTATTTTTCTTAAATATCCCATATACAGACATAATATAGTTATAATTTTATTATATTAGTAAGATAAAAGGATATAATTACTGTAGTCTGTACATTTTATAGAGATATAGTCATTAGTACGAATATGCCAAATTTTATAACGACTGGTTGAGCTGTTAAAGTGCCAAAAGGTAACAAACTAACTTTCACATTGTAATATTACTAGGTTTTATGAAAAATAAAAAAAAATATTTAGAAAATTGTGTAAATTCTCTCAACCCTAATTCTAAACAGTTGTTGTTTCAATTATATATGACGTTATGTATTTAATTCATTTTCATATATTTCACTCACTTTTCACACAAATAGTGTGAAACTTTTAAGTTTCATTTATATACGTCATAAAATATGCTAGTGCCTTTGCAATGACCAAACAATTATTATTATATTTTTTCATAATTATTACTTCAAATGAAGTTAAACATTAATATCTGTACCTGTTTGTAGTAATAAACTATTTAAAATCATTAGGCCTGGTGCAGTCGACATCTCATTGCAGGAGGAATACCTACTCAATTTATGATGAGAGCCGGCTGAGCATCTCTGAAATAATCTTAATTTTTTTTCCTGTAAAATATTCTCGTAGTCAATCTAAGTGCTATATGGTTATTACTTTTATTACTTTTTATGGTAAAGAAAAACATAATTTACGCTGACCCAAATAGATTATGAGAAAAGGGCAGGAAGACACTTTTATTGTTATTTCATCATAAAATAAAAGTCGACACGTATTTAAGAAAATTTATGAGAAAGGTGTGACATTCACTAGTTTTTACCTACTTCAAAAGGAATAGTCGTTGACATTTAATTATCATTATCATTTTATAGCAAACACGATTCACTACAATCCAACTATACATGTTCGTTAGAATAATCTCGTTTCACTCTTTACTCTACTAATCTATCGACTTCAAAAAGAAGGAGCTTCTCAATCCAGTTGTATTTTTTTATATTTGTTATCTCATTATTCCGTCCGTTCTAAACCGATTAGAAATTTTTTTTTTATCTGAAAGGATATACTTACAGCGATTTTTTCAAATTCCACAGAGATTTCATTAAAATCTGTTCAGTAATTAAGGTTTAGTTTTTAGAATAAAATAACTAGTTTTGTCACAATTAAGGTAGATTTTTTGTGAGACATAATGTTTAACTACATTATAAACGCGAAAGTTTGGAAAGATAATTGGATGTTTTTGCTCAATCACGCTTAAACAGCTAAACAAATTTGAATGAAATTTGATACATGAATAGGTTATATCCTAACTAAACATATAAGATATCTTGTATGTTGATTCGCGGGCAAAACCGCGAAAAATAAATAGTGATAATAAGTCTAAATATGGGTTATTATGAGGAAAATAGTACATAGTGTAAAGTTGAAAACTTATCTATTCCCAAGGAATTCAGAATCGCGATATATTTGATTCGATAATCTCATTTTTAACTTAACTTTAATGCAAGTTCCGACAGGCCGACAGAAGTGAATGTCGTTAAAAACTTTGAGACTATACGAAAACTATTGAAAGTAAACAGATCTGTGACATATACACAGTAACATATACACAACAAAATCCTAAAGTTAAGTGCAGCAACTGTTGGATTCGTCAGTAATATTAGAAAGTAAGGAAACTTTGTTCACTGGGGATACTGCTGCGCCGAGGGAGCGTGTGACTTGTCCCGTGAAATGTAAATAAATTGAAATTTGAATGCTACGTAAATCCTATTGTTGGCACATGTTAAATGTTGATATTACATAAAAAATATATGTTATAGAACATACATCATTTATTATTATGACAATGCCTCTAAATTTCAGAATAAAGTGTATAAAGATGTGAGGTTAGAAAATATGTTAAAAAAGTTCCGGTCCATCAAAAAACAACGGTTGTTGTATTTTTAATTAACAAAAGGACATTGGTTGCAGCTATGCTTGATAAAGGCAAAAATATTTAAAGAATGAACTGCTGAACTCAAGGTTCGATACCTGATGTTTGCATCAGAATGATTCTTATACATATTGTGCTGGTACAGCTACTAATTATTTACAGCAAGCTGAAATGAAATTGTTGGGACACTTTCTCGTACGAAAAAACTTATATCGTGACCTACTCCAAATAACAGTAATAATTTAGTAGACAACATTTGTCTTGAATTTTTACTTTTCTTTTCGCTTTCTCTGGAGATATATTATTTGCGTTACATATTTCCGTACTAGCCCTCGGATAATGCTATGCCATAGGGACAGAGTATTAATAATTTTCTGTGACTATTTTATTACATTTTTTATCATTAGGTAACAGTACCCCAAAAGAGAGCAGCCCTGGTACTAGACCGGCTGTTGATAGCGCTCCAGAAGGCGTTGCATGAAGATGGTGACCAGCGACGCTACGACCAACCAGGACGTGACTGGCCAAGAACAGCACCGCTCCGCATCGACACCGACAATGTCAGCGACATGGTAAATATGATATAATAAATTGTCCTTACCATAACTATTCTTTTATTTAAAAATAAGCCGAGTAAAGTATTATATCTATATATATAAAGTTAAAATATAAACTATCGAAATTAAATATCATTGAAATCCATACAGTAGTTTGCGTGAAAGAGTAACAAACTTTGCGTTTATAATAGTATTAGTATTTAAAAAACATAAAATGCAAACCAGCTTATTTGTGCCATTGAAATGCTTTTTTCCGTTTCGGGCTAGGAGCGTGTAAAATTTAGCAATATTGGATAACCGATATTTAATATATCGGTTATTGGGCCAATACATAGATTGTAGTAAATATAATAATATCGAAATGTAGAACTCAATCGTATTAAATATTATTAAATAAAGACTTCCGACCGGTATGAGCGATATTGAAATGGGTCAAAACTATTTTTACGTCGTTAACATCTAGAGGAACCCAATATATAGATACTACAGCAGTATCAACACTAACCATGCATAGTGTTATGTTTATAAGATGTTTCATATTATATTTCTTTTTTAATTAACAGTTATTTCGTGTAATACGTGTTTACATGTGTGCGGTAAAAATTAAACAAGAACTCATGGCATTGATCAGAAATTAATTTTACAATATACTGCAGGATTCGTTTTTGAAAATCTACACGTGTAACAGAATTTTTAATTAAACAATACTTTCAGTATCCGAAGCATCAGATCACTTTAACAACAAGATTCTTTACTACTAATGCCTTCCTATTACTATATATATTGTGGTTTTATACCAGCTTTGATTTTAAAATACAAAATTTTTATTTGAATGAAATCCTAGAAGCTATTTCGTTTTTAAGTCAAATAAGTACCTATTTAGATGATAAATGTATGACGCGGTAATTTAATATTCGATCACCAAATTTTTAAATCAAACCAAAGACATGGAAAATTAGCAGTGGTCTACTTAGAAGTGCGTGGTCGCGTTCCAGAGTAATATATTGGAGGGGAGCCAGGCGCCGGGCTATGTGTGGCCCGTGGGGGCCGCACCACGAGACGCGACACTGCACCCCGACAAAGAAGATGATATGGTGATTATACATTCAGCTTAATACCTTTATTTAAACGTACATATATACTCGTAATGATAACAAATCTCTATCGCGTACCATAATAAGAACATTAAAAAAATTTACTTTAAAAAAGCTTTACTTCTTTACATAATAAAATCGCAAAAAATCTAGAATTAAAGGTCGTTAGAAATTAAAATGGGCATGTAGTGTATACGATAATGTACCGAAAATGTTGGTTATAAAATTTTTCTCTGTTTGTCTTTTAATAGCTTTGTCTGTTTATGACACGTGAAGACGGCTAGTGTACTAATATTAAAATTTAATAGTACAAGTATATTAAATTAAATATGGGCAACATAATATACGAGCAGGCTACAGAAAAAGGGATTGAATTTATATTTTTTCAAAGTCATGTGTTGTCAAATATAATCAATACAATAGAGTAAAAATAATGGAATGTAAAAACGCTATGCAAATGAAACATAACATACTTATAAATTGTACAAACGAACGAAATGCGGGTACAACTAATATTTTATAGTGTAAAAAATTAATCTATTGGAATATATTTCAATAGATGTGTTATAAAGGGCCACACAATACAAAATTTAATAATTTCGCTTTTTATATTGCAAGCGTGTCTTTTAAGATGAAACAAATACTGTTGAGATAGAATATAGCTTTAATGGACTGTAGTAAATAATCTTGTTGTGATATTTTTTATATAAAATTTTGACGTACACAAAATTTAATTAAGATTTTCTTTTAAATTAATTATAAGTAAACATTGTACGTAATTGAGGTTACAAGAAGACTTGTCTTATCTTAAAAGATTTTTTACGCCTAATTTTAATGAATTCCTAGTACGAGTCAAGATTTTTAAAATTATGACTACGGATACGATGATTTATTTCTTGATTATATTTTCTACTATCAATTTCAATTTAATGTTTGAACATAGAACTACACGCTAAAAAAATTATTAACCACCACTTACTTCAATCCCATCAAAATTGTGTATATAAATACACAATTTGTATGGGAAATGTATTGGTGGAATAAAAAAAGGATTATTGAAACAAGTTCTAAATTAGCAAAGTAATCACGTAACACATCATTCTAAAGTAATTGAGAATCTCCATCTTTTTGATATCGCTTCAAAATAAGTTTGTATAAACATTTGAGATTTTTATGAATAATTATCTCTTGTCTCTTTCCATTTGGCTATACACTTTTAGTAGTACAGTTTTTCATTCCTGATCTAAGATGCAAAAGCAAACCTAAGAGTAAATTAGACGGATATAGTGTACATAGAAGAGATCAAGGTCTGTAACGACGAGGTCAGAGCAAAGTCGCGAAAGACAAAGTAAGATAATGATTCTAACACCATTGTTTTTATATTAAATAAATATACAGTACATTAATATGTTACATATAAAACAAACAATAAACCTTAGGGCTTTACCGTGTACCTCTATCATCGACATTTCCATAAGTATAAATACAAGACATTAACAAAGCATAACAATCAAAAGTTATTTGAAAAAATTACGTTTACTTATATTATATTAAGATTTAATTGTAATACTTAATCCCATTCAAATAATGTATATCGAAATTTGAGCATGGTGTTAGTTTCGTTCAACATAAGGGCAACTGTCGAGAAATCTCCCTAACTACCGTATTAGAAATTATAGCCATGAGCATATATTTACATCCCATGGCTTCGGATATACGATACCCATTATTTCCAATTTCCATGGAAATTTCGGGAAGCATTAGCTATTGCACAATCACGCTATAGTTATAATATACTCGTACCTCTAGGTACAAATTCATGCTGTTCCTTAATTAGCTCGTCATTTTCTCATTTACGTATACGGTGAAATCGAAATCGTTAGCATTACGTAATAATCTACCCATATCGACGATCCCAGGTTATCAGGCGGTATCGAGCCCCTTAATTTAAGGCGAGGCTTTGCTTCTCTTTGCATCTTTTACTGCCTGTATAATAGATTGTGTTTCGAAGAACTCTTCAATATGATGCCTACAGCCACCTTTAACCATCGCACCACTGGCCATTGGCAGAGATTCCATCCTCTCACCTTAGAAACAGAATGGTCACGTACAGTGCGGTTTCAAAAAAGCTACTTCCCGCGAACACTCAGGTTGTGGAATGATTTTTTTTTTATGCAACTTATAATGACAAACAAGCTAACAGCCCCCCTGATGGAAAGCGCTAACCGTCGCCTATAGACATGAGTAGTACCATGGACATACAAACATTACCGCAGAGACATTCCCTAAAGACTACAGCATGGGGTTCTTAAAAAATGGCGTATTAAGGTTTCGCGCGCGCGTGATATCCCTGGTATTACAGACAGCGGGTCGTATGTTTATTTATCACGTAGTAATATAACAAATATAAATATAGTAATATAAAAAATATTATAATATATTAAACAGAAATTTGGTGAATCAAAAATTAAAAAAAGATAAAAAAATATCGAATCTCCTATACTAACTGTTTACAACTATTTAGCTGGACGCGTCGTGTTAGTATCTTCTTCTTAAGGTGCTGTCTCCTACCGGAGTTTGGTGATCATCACGGCGATCTTAACTTTGTCCACCGCCATCCTGAAAAGGAATCTGGTGCTTATTCTGAACTTTTTAACCAGAAGGTTCGGCATCTTCCCTGCCTTAGTCCCTGCGTTAGAATGGGAAGCTCAAATTTATTTTGTTAAATTTCGTTTCTTTAATGAAAATGTCCAACATCACTGATAGGACACTCCTTTCAAAGGATGCTTACATTTTAGATTTCAGCGTATAAAATAACATTAATGATAATAACAACTTCCATAAAAGACAAATAACCATTGGGCACGTCTCCATCGAGGAATGAAATAACAATTTCGTCATTAATAGAATTAGTACATATGTCGTATTTTTTGTATAACGAAATAAATTTATACAAAGAGACAGATTTTACGAATCCGATTCACTCATTATGTCGAAACCTAGTTTACAAAACAACAAAGTAGTACTTGTTTTAATGAAATTTAAGGAAATATTATTTTTTTAAACTTTATAGAAATAAGCAAATGTTTTATAAAATGATAATTTAGTTACAGTGAGATTGAGTAAAGAAGGTTATGAAGATAAATAGCAGAGGAGATAATAATAATGTCTCAGATCCTAATGTGCAGCCCTATGAATTTTTTTTAAACTTGAATATATTTGCAATCCTGGTAACAAGTTGCCATAGGATATAACAATCAAACCTAAGCACACAAAGCCGTAGACAAAAGGTAATTGAATATAAATGTTGATACCAAGTGGGCACACTTTTTACAGACTTCAAAAAGAGAGAAATTTCTCAGCTAATTTTAACACGAACACAAACAGTTACTTTGTACATTTTGTCATGATTTTTTTTGTGAAATCAAATTTTAAATTATAAACTGGCTGTAAATATTTTTCTCATTGTAGACATTGGGTGCCATTTCTCTAAACATATATTTTACCTAATATTTTAATTTGATAATTATTCAAAATGAATATTCTATGAGCCATCTTAAATTTAAATTATAATAATTTTGATTTAAATTTATTAAAAAATTTGTTCATATGGATTCATACAATAAAGATTTCGCTGTGATATGTTGTAATTAAAATTTTAATTTTAAACTTAGCTTTAGAGAAATTATGCCTCAAAATCGAACCCAATATAGCAAAAGTTGGACTATGCTGTTCTACCATATACTCGTATACTCTACGGACGGTGTAGCGGAAGCTATCGGTGTACAGGTATTATATAAAGCGTAGTAGCTACGCATGACGCTACGTCTTCCACTTGCTACTTAGATAATTTCTACTTTTACTGTTATTATACATAAATATGGAAGGGTGTAATTTTATTTTATATTAGTTACTCAATTACACCTAAATGGCTGAATAGATTTAAATAAAATTCGGTACATAGACAGGCCAAATTCTGAATTAACACATAACATATTGTCATAAATGATTTTATTTGCTCTTCTAATACAAATAATTATTTTTATAGTAATATTGTATGTATGTATTTATTTATTTTACATATTATACGTATGTTTATTTTGGTCTAATTATATGTTTATAATATATGAATATATTAAGTGTTACTTTATGATTCTTTAATTCATTAAGGCACTGCCTACTTATTTCTCAGTTTATCAGTTTAGTTTTTTGGTTAACTGGTAAAGAACACCGTCCGGTGTTATGTTGTGTACATAGTTTTACTGTCCATTAAAATAAATAAAATGAAAACTAATATTCCCTGAGCCACAAGTATGAATATAAATTTGAAGTTGGTTGAAAAAAAATCTTTTCTCTTTAACTTTGTTTTTATTTTGTTAGGAATTAGTATAATTTTATTGTCATTATTATAATTACTATGTGTGTGTATATGTGATAATTAATATAAATGTACAATATTACATGCTACAACTATCATAAACGTAAAGTTTATGAGTTGAATGGTCGTTTGTTATTTTTTCATGCATAAACGGCATTTTTGAATGAAATTTTGGTACATGGGTAGGTTATATAGGTTATCTTAACAAATATAAAAATAATAAGTACAACAGAATCACGCCAATCGTCCAATCCTCAAGCTAGTCTACCCTGTAAACATCTCAGGCTCAACCCAGAACATGAAAATCAAAACCAGTTCAAAAAAGTTTGTTTCCTGAATTGGCCCGACTGAGAGTCGAATTTGGAACCTCATATACGCAATGTAACGTGCGCACCATTGCGCCACAGAGGTAGTAAAATCGTTGAGGCTTTCATACAAACGGAGCCATTGATTACAGCTAGTTATACATAATTTATTTTATATTTAATAATTTAATGTACTCAGTAATTAGGTAATGTAAATGTATATTACCTAATTACTGAGTTACATGTGTTTGTAAAATTACATTAATATCATAATGCTTTGTTCCCAGACGGGGTTGCAGCGACGCGGTCAGGCCGGCCCAAGCCGGGGCCGCGTACTACGGTGTTATTTCAACGCGGTTACCTGTTTCTGAACGCTAAACCACATCCTGTTATTATGTATCGTTTTATTATTATTTTAATAAAACAATAGACGACGGCGATGTATATAATTTTATTGAACAACAGGTATTAATTTAATACAGTTATACACAATATTATCCATTAAAATTACATTTTACAGTATGTGTTTTTTTTTAAATACGTAATTAATAAATAACTAATTTTATTTTCTTAAATATAAACACATTGCTAATAGATAAGCTGATAGAAAAATTAGCATTCGCTTTATACAGACATATAAAGAGTATATCAATTTTTACATATGATACATGTATAAAACTTGAGTTTTGTCTGTATAAATATCATGATAACAATATATCCACCAAAATAACGTGTAATATTTTACAACATATTTTGCGACATACCTATATTTTTATACTGGCGTGCCTCTCGTGTCAGATATTGATAATAATACTTATTTGTTCAGATTAAAAGTAGTATCGCAGTGTATATCTTGTCACAATTAGTACCTTCATCATCTCAATCATTAACTGTCCACTTCTGAACATAGACCTACCCCATACATTATCATTTTTCTTCCTCCAATAAAGTTTAAAGTCATCACTCTATCTAGTGAGGGATCGTCCTACTTTGTATTTGCCCGTACGAGGTCGCCACTCAAAAACGTTTCTTATCCATCGGTTGTCATTTCTTCAAGCTATGTGATCCACCTGTTGTCACTTCAGCTTGCTTACCCTTCAGGTTATGTCGGTGACTTTGGTTCTTTTGTGGATATCCTTATTTCGGATTCTGTCACGCAAAGAAACTCCGAGCAAAACCCTCTCAATGACTTGTTGACTAATTTGAAGCAAAAGCATACGAGCTCGTATGCAAAAGCATACGAGCAATCGTGCAGGACCATGTTTCGGTTCCATAAGTCATCACCGGCAACACGCACTGGTTAAAGACCTTCGTCTTCAAACTTTGAGGTATTTTGGATGAGAAGATTTGCTGTAGTTTTCTGAAAAACAATTATAATATTATTAGTATATAATAACAAATACTGCAGTAACACCCTATCTATAAAAATAACTAAAAACTGATTTAATGAAATTGTTGCATACATATACATAGGTAAAATAATTAGGAGCTATGAAAGAAAATAAACATTTTATAGTTTTAATCGTGTGAGCTATCTATTACTAGAGTTGGAATTCTGCACTGTCATATACTATTTTATCAATTTTTTTTTTTATAGTTTTTTATATATTTTATATTTAATCAAATCTCATAAGTAAACCTTGTATATAAAATTCTATTGAAGCTAATTGTTCATATTTTATTATATGTATATAATACCCAAATGTTGATCAATATTAAATCGTTATAAACGTAGATGAATATAAAATTGTTTACTTAAATAAGAGTTTACTCGAAAACGAAATGTTGTAAATGATTTTTTTTTTTATTTGTGTCGACATCTATTAAAACAACATAAAACTAGAATATTTATAAGAGTTATTCGCATAGAAACCAGGCTTAACTATGTAATCATTTTCAGTATTCTATTGCGGAATTTCAACAAAATACGGGTATGCTGAAAATTTTCCATATGCTTCATACTTAGAGAAAAGTAAAAAATATACTAGATGGCGCTATATCTTCATAAATACATTTTATATATTCATATTTAATATTGGTCATTTTATTCTTATTTTAAAAGACTTACCTACGTTTTAGGTATGTATATTATATCTTCCGATTACTCGATTGAGATTCGAACCCACATCTCTCTGCTATCCGAATTGTGTGTACCCAGTTAGATTACGGAAAGAATACTGTATGGATAACAGGAAGATTTGGGGGGGGGGGGGGGGGGGGTGGAAGGATTATTAGTAATGTAGACTACCAATCCCAATGCTAGCGATATACCCTGTCAGGTTGACCCCTAGAAACCATCGTGATGAATTAGTAATAACCAAGTATGTTCATCACGATGGACTAACTGACTTGCCTTTTCATTCTCATTTATCATCATCCTTCCCTGGTGCTCCGCCAACGTATACCGATAGCACCGACGAGGCTACTATTACATTATCATCTATTAAAAATAAATAGAAAAATGTGTGTTCGAATCTTACTGAATCAAGTTGTCTCGGAAGGTATTTTTCAATATATGTATTAATAATAAAAAAAATCCCAAATTACGCATTAAAATATTTTCAAACCACATTATGAAGTAAACAGATAAGTATTTATTTCGTTATTACATGTTCCATCTATTTGTTAATTTGTAAAAACAATAAACATTCTATCGCATTTATCTATGCCACAAAATATTGAATGAAATTTATTAAAAAAATACAGTTTTAAAATAAAAATGAAAAAACTATTTTTAGTTGTCATAATTATTATTCAAGAAATTTCTCACAATAAAATGTAATAAAACGATACCTGTTAACATTCGAATAATTTTATACTAAAACTATAGTGTTACATCAAAGTAAAATAGGTAATTAAAAAACTTTAAATGTAGAAGATACCTTGATATAAAATCAAAGCTTTGTTTAAACAAAGAAGTGACATTCGAATAGCTCGTAAGCCTTTTGTTAAATGAACGGATAGTTGTTTTCTGCACGATCACACTTTTGTTCAAGAAAACAAAAGTGTGGTCGTACGTATACGTATTAACTTAGCGCTTTAGCACCGGTGGCGCGCGCTTGTTGCTACGGCTGAATGTTGTGTGGGTATCTTGATTGACATAACGATTTAAGAAATCTATAGTACGTTCGACATTAAATTGTATAAATATTTCATGTAATTGAAAAGATAAACATATTTTTTAATTAAAACAGTACAAATTTTTAAGCGACGCCAAAAGAAAATATATTTGCAATTAGTTAATTTTATTTATTCTTTACAATTTGTCGTTGATTCCTACTTTAATAATTTTGTCATAGATACAGTAACAAAAAAACAAGGTGTCAAATTCAAAATAAATGTGTTACCACTTGTTACTCTTTAATATTTAAAAAAATTAAAGTAATAATAATTAGGAATAAAACGAAAAATAACTCTTTTTCGTTTTATACTTAAGCCAAAACAAAGAACAGAAAAGTACTGACTACGTTTCGAGTTAGTATTAATTATGTAAGTACCTATGATTAACTAACTCTCTTACATAGTAAAGGAAAACCTGGTAATACAATTTCGTTGCTAATTACAGACCAATTGCCGACACTATGGCGGTGAATGTCAAAGGTATTCAAGTAGTTCGGGTGTACAGAGGATACAAATGTATCCACTTACATACCTAATGCAAATTTCCGTTCAAACAATAAATTGTCTATTACAAAAAGGTTACTGTACTAGCTACTCGTTACTAATAAGATTATTGATAACTGACAGTAACTAGTTACTTCACTCGCGAAGAATTAAAATGGAAAAATATAAATCCAAAATAACCCCAAAAATTATTAAAATAAATTTTCAATGGTTTCCGTCTTATCTTGTTGCCTGTTACATTCTTTTTTCTTTTACTTATCTACTCATTGGCAATCTGTTCCTTATAGAACAATAATTCAATATGCTGTTTGGATATTAGGTTTGAATTTTCTTATTATATGATGAGGCCAATCCGTTAATCAGCTCTCAATCTCTGTCTTTAAATCTTTCTACGAATCCTTGGATGCTGTGTCTTTTTAATCGTGAGAAATTAATGTTTCCCAATCCTTGTAATTGAGCACCCAAATCATTCCAATGTATATTTAATCTGAATTGATAATATAGACTTACTATAACGTACTTTAATCTAAGATCTGTTATACTAGACTATCTGTACTTAGAAGATATTTAAGAAAAATGTGCTCAGTATAAGGGATATTTATAAGTGTTATTTATAAGGGATATTGAAAATATAATAAGTTCATTAAGCTCCTGTATTTATATTGTCTATATAACAAATATAAAATGAATAAAAATGAACTCAAGCTTTAAAAATAATATTTATAAGAGCAAAAAGGACCAAAGCAATTATTTTTCGATTTTTTGTCTGTCTATATGTTTATCCGACGGCATCACGACAAACATATTGCAACAAATTTGATTCAATCTCCACATTTGTATAAGATCCAACTTAAATTTTGAAAATTTATAATTTTATTATGATACGCGATCTAGAAGTGGTCGCTTATTCACAAAATCCACGCATACGAAGTTGCGAGCAGAAGCTAGTTTATAATTTTAGTGAGATATTGCTCCTTGTTTGTTTGTTTATTTACGCTGATCTATCTATATACAAATGCACTGTGTGTGTTTCCTAACACAGATACGCTTATCCGTATCAATTTTCCATTTCCTAGGATGACAACACGCATTCATCTATTGTGGACAACCAAAATATGCACCACCGAACGCGTCCACAAGACCCTTTGATCTCCAAGGTTGCGCCACCGATAAAGTAGCTTTTCGTACACGTGGAGGCTCTTTCTACGCCCCCTCCATTATTTAATTATAGAGACATAAAAGCTATGGCAGCCGTTTAAGTAAATATGATATATAAATAAGTTGAATAGACCATAAATGAAAATTGCTCCTCACACAGACTATATTATAAAAGTGATAACTTATTCAAGAATTCAGGATTCATGTGAATGTAAAAACATTATAGCGGCTGGAATCACTCAGACGGCGATTTATTTTGTCTCATATTCGATACCTAAATATAACTTGTTCCATTAATTCGAATTCATCTGAACTTTCAGTAGTCACGATCTCTATAATAGTGGGCGACAGTAAATATGAATATGTAGCCAAAAGTTGGTCAATTTTACTCATAATTGCGTTCCAAAATGAAGGTTAAAAGATAATTAGTCTTGTAAAGAAAAAGTCAATTGAATGTGATGTATAAAACTTGATGTAGTTCGTAAATATGAACAGGGTACCTCATAGTTCTGTAACATTTGCTTATATACCTACCTATATAATTGATTAATATTAACAAAATTAGTATTTTAACTCTTTTTTTTAAATTAACAACTTTTTAACAGTTATATTTATATTTAATAATAAAAAAAAATTAATAAAACGTAATTGATATAGTAACAGTTACGACTTTATCAGAAAATATTCCAAGGAGGAGATTATTAGTATGGGAGAATAACAAATGGTCCCATTGCCTATTT